ATACGACCGCGACAGTCAAAGGGTTAAGGGAACTGGAGCACAGATCCAATTCCCTAGATCAAGAGCCCCTCACTGGCGTCAAGGAACCTCCCTTAAGGGGTATTTATGTAATAATAATGGGATTCTGTATGATAGAAATTAGTATTAAGTTATTCTTAACCCCATGACTGTTGCAACCCCCAATCCTGAGGTGTCTCCTGGTGTAGCAAAATTTAAAAAAAGGAAAAAAAAATATTTTTTCATATGAAATGATAGAGAATCTTTTCCCGATTGTAAAGACACCAAAAAAAACTAAATTTGATGGAAAACTGATGGAATTACGCTCTCGCGAATTTAGCGACCTCAGCGATATTTACAAATCGGCGATTTCGCCCACTTTAAGCCCTATTTTTGGCTAATTCCATTGTTCCAGTCGATCAAACTCATAGCTGTTTCTTTAGAACTCCATTTTTTCTATCAATTGAGTACAAGAAACAGCCCATTTACTGATTTCAACTACCCAATGACATGGTCGGAAATTTGCAATTTGGCCAATTTCACGAAAATTAAAAAATATGACAATTTCAAATCAGGTCCAGAATGAACAATGCAGACATTCCCAGCTCTAAAATAACATTTTCTGTGTTCATCAGTCATGTCTCCAGGCCCAGCTGATATTACTCTTGCTTTTTATTTTGAATTTTTTTTCAAACAAAAAATAGAATATTTACTGTTATGCAGACAACTGCAATACTGTAATAATTGTACAAATAATGTCAACTCATTCATGACTGCATATTAGAATGGCTAGTTGGACATTTATTGGACAATGACATCATTTGTTTACTTTTGAACATCGGCAAAAATCAAACATTTCCCCTAATTTGAGCTCCATTTCCAGGTTCTTTTTATAGTAAAACCAATCACCTCTATTTCTATAATATGTTTTCCATTCTATCAAATGAGACCAAGAAAACGAGAATACAACCATAATTACTATACGAAAATACATCACAAACTCGGCATTTTAATTAAAAAAATGGTCGGAGTTTTTTTTCTCATTATGCACTGCGTGCTCCAGGATTTTTTTTATATGGTGCACACTGACCACACAGACCCATTCTCTCACATGTGGGCCTACCAGCTTTCTCCTTCTTGATTTGAAGCCGCTAGAATTTATGAGTATATATACGTCAAACACGGTACCTCGTAAGACGTATATATACGACCGAAACAGTCAAAGGGTTAATGAGAAGTGATGTGACAGTGTAAGATTTTTCCCATAGGTATTAAAACAGTGTGTGAGGAAATTGAGTATGGATATACAACATTGCATATACCAAAACTTATTTAGGGAAAGCCAGTCTGGTTGGTTGATTAATATTACAAGTTACCAATAATTGTTTTGGAGGTGTTAATTAATTGGCCAACATTTCATTTTATTCAAGAGGAATTGCTCAACATGCACCGGTCATATAGTGCCTGAGAAATGGGAGGCATTCAGGTTTAGTCCAAGGAAGGGGAAGATAAGCCCAGTTCCTTTGATCAAGAGCCCTTCAGTGGTGTCAAGGCAGACTTAAATTTATACTGGCCAGCAAGTTCATAGTGCCAATAGTTATGGTTTGCAAGAATGGCACCCTCCTATCTTTATTGTTAGTTGACACATTGGACACATTTGAACATCAACCAAATCTTCAGATGGACCACAGAAAACAATATGAAGTTCACTGAAGAGAAATTTCAATTACTCCAGTACTGAAAACTCAAGGAAATTAAAACTACATACATCAGAGCATAGAACAAATTCCAACCACACAATAGAGCAGAAAATTAATGTGAAGGACCTGGGAGTGATAATATCTGAGGATCTCATTTTCAAAGATCACAACAATGTATCTGTCACTCATGCCAGAAGAATGATAGGATGGATAATGAGAATATGTGTATGTCGCTGAGACCGCTAACTTCGCGGGAGCGTAATTCCGTGAGTTTTCGACCAAATTTCGTACTTTTGGTGTCATTATCATCGGGAAAAGATTCTCTATCATTTCATAAGAAAAAATAGTTTTTTTTTTTTTCCAAAAATTTATCGACATAGAATGACTGTTTCAGAAAGGGGCCTGCGACAGTCAAAGGGTTAATGAAAGGAGGATAGGTTGCTTTAGTTGCTCGAATACACTTTTCAGGGTAGTTCTGATAGTCGAATGAACATACTAGCAAAATTGCCAAGATTGGACAAATTGAGCAATGGAATTGGCTTACAATAGAACTGTGGGCAAAATCACTGCTGCATAAATTGCGCCAAGACCGCTAATTTTGCACCTGCATAATTCCATAAGTTTTTCTTCAAATTTTGTACTTTTAGTTCTATCACCTTCAGAAAAAGATTCTCTACCATTTCAGAAGAAAAAATAACTTAAAAAAAAAAGTGCACACTGAGAATAATGTTAATTTTGGGGGTATGGACAGTGAAAGGGTCATTCACACAGAAGCGTAAAGGGAAGAGAGCCAGTATATGCATGAGATGGGGAGGCTGGACTGGGAGTAGAATGAGAGAAGATAGTATAATGGAGAAGTAGTGGTAGTAGTAAGTAGTGCAATAGTGGCTAAAAGAAAGTAGTAGTGGCAGTGACACAAGATTAGAGTGAGTGTAGGTAAAGCAAAACTCGTAGGACAGAACCCACCTAGGCAAAAGAAAGACAGAGAAACTATAGGAAAGGAGAAGAGGTAAGGGGAAGATAAAGATCAGGTAAAGTCATGTGAGTTCTGAAAGTCTGGAGCATTTGACAGTGTAATGAGAAAGGCAGGCATCTACAGAGACAAAGCCAGGACCAAGATTAATATTAGGAATGTTATGTATAAGGAATGCTTCAGCAAGATGGCATCTGTAAAGGCTAGACAGTTTTAGAGAGGACCAGTTAATAGGATGACTGATCTCTAACAGAAAAAAAACATTATTGTCAGCAAATCTAACACTAATTTGTGCTCTTTTAAGTCTGTCAGAAAAGAGAGTGGCCAGTTTCTCCAAGGTATTGAAGAAGACAGTAGGAGCAGAAAATGGAGTAGACTCTGGAAGCAACAGTAGCAGGAGCGTGACGAACTAGATTATGTACTAAGAACCCCTCAAGGGAATAGAGTCTATGCTCCATTTCCCTGAATTAAGCCTGAATGTCTTTCCCTTCACCCCCACAGGTTCTGTATAATCTCTATGGGTTTAGCACTCCCCTAATAATAATAATGTATTAAGAAGAGCATTAGTTTGGAAAAAAGTAAGTTTGATGTCTAAGGAACAGATGGAGTTAAGATATGGGAGACTGGAAATATGCAGAAGACAAAGAACTTGAATTTTCACATGACAGGAGAGTTTGAGAGAGATGGAAATCCATTTAGCATGTGAGTAGCAGATTTTGCGAAATCAGAAAGGTATCCAAGACGAGAGAATGAATTCCAAAGAGTGGAAATTTAAGTAAAAAAACTGGTCATAAATGGGGAGGGTGCAGAGGAAGAGAGAAATAAGGACATGTCCTGACAAAAGCCACGTGGTAAGAATAGTAAATGTACATGCCATTCATTACATTGTCCAATGCTCCAAACTTCAGAACACTTATGACTTGACCTGATCTTTATCTTCCATTACCTCCTCTCTTTTCCTTCTGCCTAGGTGGGTTCTGTCCTACAAGTTTTTGTCCTACCCTTGTGGGCCATTCTCTCTCCTGTAGTGCTTCTTTTTTTGTTCTTAGACTATCTCCACTACTACTATTATTACTTTGCTTACACTACCACTCCTTTCTTTTGACCATTATTGCACTTACTACCACCACCATTACTTCTCCATTATACTACTACCTCCTCTCATTCTACTCCTGGCTCCACCCTCCTCTCGTATATATACATGTACTGGCTCTTCCCTTCACACTTGTGTGTGACTAGTTAATGATTCAAGTTGGCCTGAACCTCATCATCAGTTTCATTACATGAGAGCATTATTCGTGTATTACTAAGAGTATTACCCAGAGGGCTGAAGAGGCAATAATGAGGTAGTCTGAATATTTAGAGAATGGAGCAAAATAGAATGACTTGGAGGGTGTATATGCAGTGTATAACCCTAGTGGTTTTAGAGCTTGGTTTTGATTATAAGTGGAGGGTATATAACTGGAGGGAAGGCTAGGTAGGGGTCATCCTAGAAAAGGTTGGAGGGACGGGTTAAGATTTTTGTATGCAAGGGGCTTGGACATCCAACAAGCATAGCATGTGCAAATGTGAAAGAGGAATGAATAGGGGCAAGTGATTATATGACTCGACGTACTGTTGGAGTGTGAGCACAGTAACAGAGTGAATATCAAAATGGTGTACAATACTGACAGGTTGGTAGGTAAGACATAGGCAACTTTATTCCGAAATGTTTCGCCTACACAGTAGGCTTCTTCAGTTGAGTACAGGAGGTAGGCAGGAGCAGTAGAGATGTAAAGATGAAGTAATCAGTCCATCACCCTTGAAGTCATAGATTTGAGGCTGTCAGTCCCTCAGCCTGGAGAAGAATTCTGTTCCATAGTCTAATCTGAAGATCAAGTCTCCACGCTGTCACTTGATCTTCAGATTGTTTCAGACTATGGAACAGAAGTCTTCTCCAGGCTAAAGGACTGACAACTTCAAATCTACGACTTCAAGGGTGGACTGATTACATCGTCTTCGCATCTCTACTGCTCCTGCCTACTTCTTGCACTCGACTGAAGAAGCCTACCGTGTAGGCGAAGTGTTTTGGAATAAAGCTGCCTAACTGTTGCCTATGTGTCTTACCTACCAACCAGTATGCTAATATTTATGAAGGATTCAGGGGAACTGGAGGCGGGAAGTACAGTGCCTACACACTGAAGGGGCATCAGAGCTGTGATGTCAGTGCTCCTCTGGCAAGATAGTGGAGTGATTAGTGATGAATGTTTCTTCAGATCACCCTACCGTGGTGGGAGATGACTAGTGTGTTAAAAGAAAAAGATTGTTAAGGAGTATTATAAACAACACTGTCAACATGTAGGCTTTATTTTTTCTTTTTCAGCTTCTTGAATTCTCCCTCTTGCACTTGCAATCCACCCATGATCTGTCCAATCTTTCTCTTGCGCTCAGCATCACTGAAACAAAGAATTTCCAATACTGTAATCATAACCTATGAATTAAAACAATATTAGTGGATACCAGCAAGTGGTTTAAAAAGCTACATGAGCAAACTCTAGGACATATTACAAAACATTTGTCTTGGGAATGATTCCTTCTACATACAGGTCAATAGTAAGTGTGTGTGTGGGGGGTAGGGGCTGGAGGCAGTGGAGACGAGTCTGAGGGCAATGTGTGGTGTAAATATGCATTAAATTCTTGGAGATAAGGAGGTGCAGGGGATACCAAAAGCATTATCCAGAGGGCTGTTGAGGTGGGCTTGGCATTTAGAGAGATCAGAGTAAAAGAGGATGTAGAGGGTGTATAAATTTGAAGTGGAGGGAAGGTGGGGGTTATACTAAGGGAGGGGAGTAAAGGAGGTTTTGTATGTGGGAGGCTTGGGCATCCAGCAGGTGTGTTAGGAGTGGAAGAAAGTGATTTTTTTTGACTGTGCTGGAGTGTGAGCAATGCAACATTTATGAAGGCATTTGAGGAAACCAATTAGCCAGACTTGAGTTCTAGAGGTAGAAAGTAGAGTGCCTGCACCCTAAAGGAGGGGTGGGAATATCTGCAGTCTGGAGGGGCATCTGAACTATAGTACCCTCTTCAAGGGGGGCTCCTTGGCGTGGTGAAGAGGCTCTTGGTCTGAGGAATTAGCCCTGTCGGTCTTCTTCCTCAGACCGAACCTAATTACCCCCCATTCTCCCCTCCCCTATCCCATCCTCCCCTTTTTCCATTCCTCCTCCTCCTCCTCACCCCTCCCTTTAGCCCTTCCTCTTTTTAGCCTTCGTGATTTCTCCCACAGGCGCGCTAGTTCCTAGGTAGGGGAAAGGACACCGGGGTCCATCCCATTCCGTTGAGGTTTCTTGGCGGTGGCGTAGTTTGCCGTGGAAATCGGGGATTGCCTAGGGATGTCCCGATCCCTCTCCGGTATCCCGGAGTAGCTTTGGGGTGTCTTTTGGGCGACGGGTGTATCTCTGGAACCCACCTTTCGGATTCCGGGGGTGGTGGCTGAAGGAGGTATGCTTTGTGGCGGATATCCGGCCCCCCTCTCTTTTGTCCCCCGAGGTAGCTCGCAGATGTGGGGTTTGCTATCCCAGATTGCTGGTTTACTGGCATGAAGGGTAGGGTAGGGCAGGGGTTTTCCATGCTGCATCTGCGCTACTAGCGGTGTCGAGTCCTCTTGGCGCTGGAGGGGATTTCGGGCCCCTTTTTCTTTCCTCCTAGGAACTATCCCTCCCCGGTCCCCCTTTTTTTTTTTTTTTTTTATTTTTTTTTTCTTTTCTTCTTTCTTTTTTTTTCTTAAAACAAAAAGAAAGAAGTAACCTAACCATGGCAGCCCTAGTCCATGAACCTAGTCCCCCCCCGGGCCCCCTTCTTGATAACCCGCACCCCGGTTCTGACCCCCGGCCTCGTCTTTTGACCACTCTTTAGACTTCCTCATGCCTCTGTACCTATTGCCGGTGCTGTTTCCTCACCCGCTTCAGGTACTGAGGCCTCGATGACTCTTCATTTATCGACCTTCCCCTCTCCTCTGATAGTTTCCCGGCCTCTCCTCTACGGTGCGGCAATTTTCAAATCGCCGACCCTTTTTCCAACGTCGGAACCACTCTGGTCCCAGCCTAAACGTAACACAATTACCTGTGATGATACTTCTCCCCCACCTTCACTTCTCGTTCTTCTCAGAAACGATCGACACGCCTTATACCTTTCCACGCTCGTTTCAGTGAACAGTGGTCTAAATTCTTCACTTTACGACCAACTTCCTCTAACTGCCTATCTTTCTGACCATAGTAGGGCAAGGCACTCCTACGCCATGTTGGTAAAGATATTTCTTTTTCATGCTCTTAAGATCGGTACGCGCATCATTACGTACAGAATGCTACCCGGGCTCGTGAGCTCTCTCGTTTTTTCCCTATAGATACTGTTCCGTCACCCTTGAAAACATCATTCCCTAAATTCTTGTAGTGGGTACCGTTATTCGGGCCCCATACCATAGTTCAACAAAATTTCCAGACATGTGGCACCGACATTCTAGAAACAGCTGGAACTCCAAGATCTCCAATCCTCAAGGTAGACACTTACGTTCTTCCTCCCGTGGGCGGAGACATACCTAGCAATGTTTGGCTCGTTTAACTTTTGACAGCCGAACTCCCATCCTCGTTTTAAAAGCAGGACATCGGTTTACAAGTTCGAAGGTGATCCCTACACCACAACAGTGTAGAAATTGCTGGCTTTTTGGCCATCACGAATATTGCAGATCTATCGCCGAATGCCCATCTGTGGTGCCGATGACCATTCTAATACGTCTTGCAATCCGATCTCCCTCTTGCTTAACTGTCATGAGGCTCACCCTTCGTTACTCTCCCCCGTTGTCAGGTTATTTTAAAGGAGCGGAATCCGTTACCTCCAAGAGACAGAAGGTCTCCCTTATGCCTGGCAGTTTCTCATCCTCCGCCTCCAGGGAGACTCCCACGTGGTTTCTTATTCCCGTTTTCAAAACGTCCCCCCACTTCTGGTATCCATCTTCTACACCCACCTTTTGTGGTTACCTCTCCCATAATCACTCCTGTATCTAACCTTTTGCTGTCCTCGGCTCAGACGTCCCTACTTCAACGCCTCAGTCTAATCTCGCTTCTTCGAGTTTTCTCTTACAAGCCCCAGTATCGACGAGACTCGTACGACACCCCTTCCAATCGTCCCTCTACTTCTCAAAAGTCAAAAAAAGGTTTCCGGTAACACCTCCCACCCATCTTCCACCTCCTCATTTTACCCTCCCTTTTTCTGTCCCTGTCTTCCCCTCTCACTGGCTCAGTTACAAGTGCAGAGTTCACCCCTCCTCGTAATGTACCTTCCTCCCCTGTTCCCTCCCAAGTTTCTTCCTCTTCTGCCACCTCCCAGGTTCCTGTCTCTTCTGTCCCCTGCCACGCTTCTCCAGTTCCCTCCACCCTTTCGGCCCCCCCTACCTTGGTACAGTCCAAAACAGTTTCCAATCTTTACTCATCCTCCCCCTACCCTTCCCAATATTGTCTCCCATACGACATCTCTGAATTCCGAAACACTTGAAGCAATCTCTGAATATATTGCAGAGACCAAACCATCAATTTGGGCATGATCCACCTTCCCCTCTTTTCTCTCCTCTGCTCCATCTGCGCAACTCCTTTCTTTACAGCGCACCGTTTTCCCTTTGCTGCTTTAACATTTTCCACTGCCTCCGCTTTTGGACTTTTCTAACCCTCTAGTCCGTAGGAACCCTTACCTGCGGATTTCAAATATCTTTATCATTGCCATCATGGCCTTTTACATGGAATATACGCGGCCTCAGGGTAATCGGGGTGAGCTTCAGATGTTACTCTCCCCGTTTGCCCTGTTGGTGTTTGCTTACGGAACAAAATTACACTCTGTGTTATTTCTCACATCTCAGGCTATAATTTATTGTATTCTTCAGATCCTTTTCCTGTGGGACCTTTAATGAAAGTGCCCCCTTTTTCTCCGCACTGATATTCCGTACCATCAGCTATTTATTCATACTTCGCTGCATTACACAGCAGCCGTACCACTTACATAGGTGGTATACGCTCTTTTTCTTTATATCTCTCTCCTTCTCGGGCATTATCTATTCCGATTTTGCCTTCCCTTTTTTCGTCATTTCCGCCACCGATTCTGTTACTTGGTGATTTTAATGCCCACCATTTCCTCTGGGGGGGGTCTCACTGTGATCCCCGTGGAATTCATAGAGGCTTTTCTTGCCACCCACCCCCTCCATGTTTTAAATACAGGTACTCACACCCATTTTGATCCTCGGGACTCATACTCTCTCTTGCATAGATCTCTCAGTTTTTCTCTTCCTCCCCCGCATTAGACTTTACTTGGTCTGTTCTCCCGGACTTACATGACAGTGATTCATTCCCAATCATTCTTTCTTCCCCTTCATATTTGCCACCTCTTCGCACCCCACGCTGGCAATTTAATCGGGCAAATTGGAACCTTTACTCACACCTGACTGTTTTTAAAGAGGTTCCTTCTCGTCCTCCATCGATGAGCTTTTACACCTCTTTCGTCCTCCGTTTTTACGCAGTTCTCATTCTATACCCCCAAACTTCGGGCAGGCATTCTCAGAAATGCGTGCCTTGGTGGTCTCCTGCTTGTGCTCGTGCAGTACGTTTGAAACGCGCTGCATGGGGCAGGTACCGGTACAATAGAACCACAGAGCGGACTCCTTGATTTTAAACAGAAGCGTGCGATCGCTCGCCGTGTCATCCGTGACGCTAAACGCACTTGCTGGCGAGATTGTCTCCACCATCACCTCTGCTTCCTCTATGAGTGCAGTCTGGAAAAAAGTACGAAAAACTGAGTGGTAAATATTCTCCTGACCCGGCTCCTGTTCTGCGGGTTGCCGGTGTTGATATAGCAAACCCACTAGATGTTGCCAATGAAATTGGCAATCATCTGGTCCGTATTTCTCAGGGACTCCATCTATGCCCCTCATTTCTTTCCTCAAAGTCTGCCAGAGAGTTAGCACCTTTGGACTTTTCTCTCTCAGAGAAGAACAGTATAATGTGCCTTTTACACTTCAAGAACTGGAGGCAACACTCTCAGCTTGTCGATCATCGGCAGCTGGGCCCGACGACATTCATATTCGTATGCTACAACATTTACATCAGTCAGCCCTTGCAGTCCTATTACGCCTTTACAATCTTATTTGGTCACAAGGAGTTCTTCCACAGCTGTGGAAATCCGCCATTGTTCTCCCTTTCCGCAAACCAGGCACTACGGGACATGAAACCTCCCACTATCGTCCCATTGCTCTTACCAGTGCAGTTTGCAAAGTAATGGAACGTCTAGTAAATAGACGTTTAGTGTGGTATTTAGAGACACACAACAGTCTCTCCACTCGTCAATATGGCTTTCGTAAGGGACGTTCTACCATAGACCCCTTACTGCGCTTGGATACGTATGTTCGTAATGCCTTTGCGAATAACCACTCAGTTATTGCCATATTTTTTGACCTTGAGAAGGCATATGACACAACTTGGAGGTATAATATTTTAGCCCAAGCCCACTCCTTAGGCCTTCGAGGCAATCTACCATCCTTCCTTAAGAACTTTTTAACTGACAGGCATTTCCGTGTTCGGGTTAATAATGTGCTCTCCCCGGACTTTGTCCAAGCTGAAGGTGTCCCCCAGGGATGTGTTCTGAGCACAACACTTTTTCTCCTTGCTATTAATGATTTGGCCTCTAGTCTTCCATCAAATATTTGGTCATCACTCTATGTTGATGACTTCGCTATTGCCTGTGCAGGCGCTGACTGTCACCTCCTTACAGTTTCTCTCCAGCATGCAGTCGACCGTGTTTCCAATTGGGCACCACACATGGGTTTAAATTTTCCAGCACTAAAAACCCACCAAATCACTTTCACTAGACGCTCTGTCATCTCTGATCATCCTTTGTACCTCTATGGCTACGTATCCCTGAACGTGATACAGTCAAGTTTCTGGGCCTCCTCTTTGATCGTAGGTTATCCTGGAAACCTCACATTACCTCTCTGAAGGCAACTTGTCACAGCCGGCTGAACCTTCTTAAAACCCTTGCTCATCTTTCGTGGGGAGCTGATCGTCGAACCCTCCTTCACCTACATTCCACCCTTATTTTATCGAAACTTGATTATGGTGACCAGATCTATTCAGCGGCATCTCCTGCTACTCTCTCTAGCCTTAACCCCATTCATCACCAAGGATTACGTTTATGCCTTGGTGCTTTTCGCTCTTCCCCTGTCGAAAGCCTCTATGCAGAAGCGAACGTTCCATCCTTATCCGATCGCCGTGATGCCCATTGCCTGCGCTACTATGTACGCTCTCATGATCTCCGCAATCCTTCCATTTATAGAATGGTCACTGATATTAGTAGACATTCTTTATTTGTTCGCCGCCCCTGCTTACTCCGTCCCTTCTCTCTTCGCCTTCATTCGCTCTTGTCTTCTCTTCAACTACCACCTTTCTATGTACATGTAGCATCTCACTTTTCCCTACCCCCTGGGAAGTTCCAGCTGTTCGAGTCTGTTCTTTCTCCCTCCCTTGCTCGAAAGCCCAACTGTCTACGGTCGCTTCCCGCTCTCTTTTTCTTGACCACTTTCACTCTCATTCTCATGCCATTGCTGTGTACACAGATGGCTCTAAGTCTTCTGACGGCGTAGGATTCGCAGCAGTGTTTCCGGACAGCGTCGTACAAGGGCATTTACTATCTTCAGCTAGTATTTTTACTGCTGAATTATATGCCATCCTTACAGCACTTATCCGTATTGCATCTATGCCTGTGTCATCATTTGTGGTTGTCTCAGACTCCCTTAGTGCTTTACAGGCTATACAAAAATTTGATACACCTCACCCCTTAGTCCTCCGTATCCAAACTTTGGCTACGCCGCATCTTTACTAAGCATAAAGATATTGTTTTTTGTTGGGTCCCTGGTCATGTTGACGTACAGGGCAATGAACAGGCAGACACTGCTGCGCGGTCCGCAGTACATGACCTACCAGTTTCTTATAGAGGTATTCCTGAGGGGAACTATTTTGCTGTAATATCTTCCCCCCTTCACACCCGTTGCAACAACGTTGGCCCTACTATTCGGCAACAAACTTCAGTTATTAAACCGAGTATAGGTTACTGGCCGTCTTCTATCACCGTGTCCAGGTTGGAGATTTACTCCTCCCCGTCTTCGCATTGGCCATACTCGTCTTACTCATGGATTTTCAGGAGAGGCGTCTTGCCCTCTCTGTGAGAATGCCAAGCTCCATTTCAATCAGCCCCTTGTTGGACTGCCCACTTTATCAACAGCACGCAGAATTTACCTCTGTCGTCGTCTTCCCCCCGCTGCTCTCTCTTTACTTCCCTTCTCGCTGATGGACCCACCTTTCATCCGGACTCTCTCATTGACTTTTTGACAACGACTGACTTACTTCACAAATTCTGATACTTTCAGCCCTTTCTACTTGTATCTCTTGCTACCCTCTACCCCCGTACTATCCCCCGCCCCGCTGTTTTCTGTAACCTGCTGATCATCCCCCCTCCCTTCTGCCATCCAATTCCCTTGCTTCCTTCCCTACCCTGCAGCGCTGTATAGCCCTTGTGGCTTAGCGCTTCTTTTTGATTATAATAATAATGAACTATAGTACCAATGTGCCTCTGGCAAGACAGTGTTATTCTTGACCCTCTGTATAAGTGATATTATTATAATCAAGGGGGAAGCGCTAAATCTGTAGGATTATACAGCGCCTGGGGTGGGATGTGGAAGGCATTCAGGCTTAATTTGGGGAACTGGAGCACAGATCCAATTCCCTAAACCAAGAGCCCCTCACCAACATCAAGGAACCTTCCCTGAGGGGTGTATAAGTGATAACTGTCCCAGGACTGAAAAGTTTTCTAATACATCCTAGTGTTTGCCCATGAGCCTTTAAATCAATATTATTATTTTTTTTTTTTTCACTAAACTTGCAAGAATGGAGAAGCTTAATGTAGTGCATGATGCAATACACTGCTATTGCCTCTTGTATACTAATGGTGGATCCTGCTACCCCTACTGTCAGATCAGGCTAAAGAACTACTTTAGAATCATAATGTATATTCCATTAAGTAGAAGTGTGTAAGCTTTAACTGCCATTTTACATGTTCATGAAACAAAGAAGAGACCAGCAATCTTGTTAGTGAAAAACATTTACTAAGCTTGTTTCACCCCCACATGAGACTATTACTTACCATCTTGGATAGCTGGTGGATTTGAAGTTTAAAATGGAATAATGTTTAGAGATAACAAAAAAGGGTAGCTCTAAGAAATAGCTAAAATATTAATTACTGCTTACCTCTGAAGTGTTTCAATCAACTGCTGTCTGGCCAAGAAAGCAGTATCTCTCTGGATCTCTCTTCTAGCTCCCTTTCTTTCACGTTTCAATTTGTACAAGAGTTTCTGCTTTTCAAGATAAGCCTTTGTTCCATGATGTTTCTTCACCCCTTCAATTCTTAAAACAAAGAAAATTGCATTGAAGAGAAAAAAGTAAGTGTTGATCATTCACAAGAAAACACCATCTTCAGCATTTAGTCATATATAATACATTATAATAATCACTAAAAGCACTGATCTCATATTCCACATTCAGCTCTTTTAAAAAGAAAAAATTATACAATTACATAACCTATTTAATATATGCAAGAGGTATTTCAATGGCATATATATTGTGATAAGTGAAATAAAAACTACATTCATGACTTACATCTTTTCAATAGCTGGTTCATACATCCTGATGGATGTAGGTTTGCTTTCTTCCCGAACAAGTGCACATCCCTGAGCTGGTAAGGACCGAATTGTAGTTGATAATTCTTCTATAGATTTTTTCACACATTCAGGATATTTGTTTAGGGAAAGGGACTGCAAAAGCTTGCCAGTAGGTATCATTACAGTACGTATTGATGGCGTCTGTGACCAGCACTTGCACACCTGATGAAGCAGCTTTGCTGTTTTGCACAATATATTAATTTTAAAGTCATCAGTCAGCTCTTCGTCCTTATTGATATTGGCTAAAGTTAGTCTAGATTCTTTATACCTGCAATTAAATTAATGTTTCTAGTCATAAATTATGGAAAATTTAATGAAGTTTATAAAATTAATTATATTTTTTTAACCATTTACAGAAATAATAGAGTAATTGCATGCTATAAAGTATGCCTTTTCTGTTACATTTAAATTATTATTATGAATAAGTGCTTAACCCATAAGGGTCATACAGCACTGGGTTACATTTAAAACTTTTAATCTATACGAATACAAATAAAAATCTTATGTCATATCGCCATCCGTAAGATGCAATCTTATTAAACAGGAAATAACAATCAAATCAAACACTAAACCTGAAAGGGTCATACAATTAAATAAAAGGATTTCCTATACAAACAGATGCACAATTTGCCCATGTCAAAATTAAAAAAAATTACTCACTCTGTTATGGTCTTCTCCAATACAAGAAGAGAAGCTGTTGCACCAACAGGGCTAAATGGTGGTGTCAGTGGAAGATGCATTTTCTGTCTGTCTTCAATTGCCATGAAGAGAAGACCATTTAATAGGTTGGCTAATTCTGTCACAAACCTTTTGGAAAGGCTTAAATACTGCAAGGAAAATGGTTTTAATTATGATCTAAAAGTGTCAGTCTCAAGTAAAGGAAAACAAACAAGCACACTGTATACAAAACTTGCACTACAAAATGTTTTCAAAATGTTATGAAATCTTTTTAAAAAAATTTAATTTAAAACTGTTGTAAAAACTAAGACAAATGCCTGCATTCTCAGAACTTAGAAGGCTTGTAAGAAATTGTACTGTAGAGTTCAAAATGAATTCCCCGGTTGACAGGCTGTTATATTTCCATACCTCAGAGGACGTTACCTCTGATACATCTGTGACCAGTTTTGAAAGTGCAGTAAGGGCCCCACTTATACGGAAGGTTAGAGTCCAGGCTACCGCCACAAAGCAGACATTATCAGAAAGCAGAACACCATTTTTTCCACTTATAAATGCCAGATAACAAGTTTACACTAACATATATTAAGTTAGCTATAGAACTAGGCATTAAAAAAAAAGTAAAATACAGGTCTCCCTCAACATTCGCGAGGGTTAGGGGATCAAGAGCCTCGCGAATGTTAAAAAACTGTGAATGTTTGGTGCCCAATATATTGTAGGGAAATATAATACAATACTGCTTCCTTAACTTGTTGAACCATGAACAATCATAAAATACATGAAAACGTCGTAAATCGTACTAAATATATACACGTTATGCTTTAATAACATGTATGTTATTAAATACCACAGACTCCACCATTTCCTCAACCACTGAGAGTCCCTACTACCCTCCCTCCGATCCCCGCAACTGGCAGCCAGCCCTCCCACCATTCGGTGTGGTGAGTGTTTTGTTTGTTCATTATTTGCTATTAAACTACAGTATAAATAATGTAAACCCATTCATGACTACATATTGGAATGGCTATTCGGACAGGTATTGGACGGTGACATCATGTGTTTACTCTTGAACACAGCAAAGAATCAAACATTTCTGCTACTGCTAATAATAATAATAACAATAATAATAATAATACGATATAATTGAAGAAGGAAATTGTACAAAAATATGAGGGAGTAGTTGACACATCGTCAGTGTGGCTTTGTTTATGCTGGAGTGAGCATTAGTCTCCGTGCTCTTCCAAACATTTCACAATAATTCAGCAGTTGAGGCAGTGGTATTTAATAACATATATGTTATAAATAATAATAGTACATATTATTAATAACATGTATTATTATTATTAATAACATGTATGTTATTAAATACCACTGCCTCAATCGCTGCCTCAACAGCTGCCTCACCCACTGCCTCAATCGCTGCCTCACCCGCTGCCTCACCCACTGCCTCAATCGCTGCCTCAACAGCTGCCTCAGTCGCTGCCTCAATCGGTGCCTCAACCACTGCCTCAACAGCTGCCTCACCCACTGCCTCAACCACTGCCTCAACTACTGCCTCAACCACTGCCTCAACCACTCCAGTCGCACTCAATCTACAAGAACCAAACACAATGAATTATTGTGAAATGTTTGGAAGAGCAGGGAGACTAATGTTCACTCCAGCATAAACAAAGCCACACTGACGATGTGTCAACCACTCCCTCGTATTTTTGTACAACTTCCTTCTTCAATTATATCGTATTTATTATTATTATTATTAATTATTATTATTATTATTACTATTGTTATTATTAGCAGTAGCAGAAATGTTTGATTCTTTGCTGTGTTCAAGAGTAAACACATGATGTCACCGTCCAATACCTGTCCGAATAGCCATTCCAATATGCAGTCATGAATGGGTTTACATTATTTATACTGAAGTTTAATAGCAAATAATGAACAAAAAAAAACACTCACCACACCGAGTGGTGGGAGGGCTGGCTGCCAGTTGCGGGGATCGGAGGGAGGGTAGTAGGGACTCGCAGGTGGCAGGAAACTTGAATATGATTTGGCGGCTGGGAATTTGGTGGCTGTGAATTTGGCGGTTGGGAATTCGCGAATGTGTGAAGCCCGCGAAAGCTGAAAACGTGAATGTTGAGGGAGACCTGTACACACGCAGTACATTCATTATTTACCTCAAAATATTTATACTCTTAATGTAGGGCAAAAGGTGAGTAGTATGTATTTATTGTAAGAAGTCAGGTGTGGTAGGCATGGTAGCCCTCCTGGCCACCCCACCTACACAATATACTGAGACATTTAAAGTGCCCTAGGGTGATAAAATGCATATACAGTACACTCATTACTTACCTTAAAATATTTGTAGTCTTAATGTAGGATGAGAGGTGAAAAGTACAGAGGAACCTCGGTTTTCATTTTTAATTCGTTCCAGACTGATGAAAACCAAATTCAATGAAAACTAAAGCAATATTTCCCACAAGAAATAATGTAAATCCAATTAATCCATTCCACACACCCAAAAATATTAACAAAAAAATTTTTTTATAGAGAATAACTAATGTCTTACATATAGAAACCAATGATAAATAAATATAAAGCACTAATTTTAATGGATAAATGAACATTTAAATCAGTTTTACTTTTATTGAAGACTCTTGTTGGCATATTTTTTACAAGATCCGCAAGCAACTGCCTTGCCTTATTGCAAATTATCGTCTCCACAACACTATCTCCAACTAACTGTGTTCTGTATATTCCTTGTGGCTTAGCGCTTCTTTTTTTTTATTATAATAATAATCCAACTAACTGTTTTTCGTTGATCCACACCAACAACAACTTCTCAACATCTTCGATTATTTAACATCACTACCACCCTCTACCTTTGTAGAGGATGGTAGTGATATTTCTCCACAAAACTTTGCAACTCATTCTACGAGTTCTTTCTTGAATTCTACCGTGTTTCTCACCTTCTTTATCAAAGGGCTGGCACTCAGAGCTTTCTTTGGCCCCATGGTGGCTTATTTAGCAGTCGCATTCAATAAACACAAAAAGCAATTATCACGAAATGCTTCATATGAACACGCAGGGTAATGTTCACTCGACAAGAAACACAGCCAGACTGATTCAGAATGTGTGCATGGGATACTTTGTGGACGTGGGCACACGGACACATTCCATACGACGGACAAAACCAGGGTGACTAACAAAAACTGGAACAATATTTTGACGAAAGAGAGTCATTGAAAACCAAATTCGACGAAAACCAGGGCAAACGAAAACCAAGGCTCCACTGTATTTATTTGTAGAAAGTCAGGTGTAGGAGGTATGATAGCCCGCCTGGCCATCCCACCTACTATGATATTTATAGCACCCTAGAGTGATAAAATGCACACACAGTACACTCATTACTTACGTTAAAATATTTGTGGTCTTAATGTACGGCGAGAGGTGAGTAAGCGAAATAAAAACAAATAAACGAGAGAGAGAATGAATAAGAGGACAGAGCCGCAAAGTACTTATGAAAACAAACAAACGAACAAACACGTCTGGTTATGGTTGGTACACGTTCACACAAACGCCTTACATTGTATACAAGTTGTCTCCACAGTGGTACAGTAGAATAAATAAGGAGCAACACTTACATTCTCATGTAACATCATTTTTAGAAGGAATGATGCTCTGACAAGTTAGCACAGAATCATAAATAAACAGCAACACTCCCATTCTAATGCAACACCATTTTTAGTGAATTATGATGATATTATTATTATTATAGTAATCATAAAAAAGAAGCGCTAAACCCACAAGGGTCATGAATAGCTATAGATAGTGTGAAGGCATACAAAAGGAATATTTTTCTAGTTATTCCCAGTAATTGGTCTTTGACTAAAGAAAACGTAATTCTTCTGACACTCCTACAAACCGCTTGGTAAACACATCTCATATTTATGTCAATTTTTATACTGTGGGTGTATCATGTTTATTATATAATTTTGAAAAAAATATCATGGATGGATTAATGGAAATGTCTATACAGTGCACCCCCGCTTAACGATCACCTCCCAATGCGACCAATTATGTAAGTGTATTTATGTAAGTGCGTTTGTATGTGTATGTTTGGGGGTCTGAAATGGACTAATCTACTTCACAATATTCCTTATGGGAACCAATTCGGTCAGTACTAGCACCTGAACATACTTCTGGAATGAAAAAATATCGTATTAAGAGTCATATACAACATTTAACGCACCCAAGAGATTATTATATGGCATCAAGAGCAGACAGATTCTTAGTGATTTTAATGTGTACCTGCATGCCAGCACAATGGTATCAGATAATACCTGACAGGGAGGCAACAACGAGTCATGGTACGTGATGAGGTATCACAGTGGGCGCCTGTGACAAGCGGGGTCCCACAGGGGTCAGTCCTAGGACCAGTGCTATTTTTGATATATGTGAATGACAAAGAGACCTGGACAGCTGGACATGTGGTCCAGCAACTGGCTTCTTGAATTCAACCCTGCCAAATGCAAAGTCTTGAAGATTGGGGAAGGGCAAAGAAGACCACAGAGTATATGCTAGGTGGACAAAGGGTGCAAACCTCACTCAAGGAGAAAGATCTTGGGGTGACCATAACACCGAGCACATCTCCGGAGGCACACATCAACCAGATAACTGCTGCAGCATATGGGCGCCTTGCAAACCTGAGAATAGCATTCCAATACCTTAGTAAGGAATCATTCAAGACACTGTACACTGTATGTCAGGTCCATACTTGAGTATGCAGCACCAGTTTGGAACCCACACCTGGTCAAGCACATCAAGAAATTAGAGAAAGTACAAAGGTTTGCAACAAGGCTAGTTCCGGAGCTCAGGGAAATGTCCTACGAAGAAAGGTTGAGGGAAATCGGACTGACAACACTGGAGGACAGGAGAGACATGATAACATAAGTCACAGAGTCGTCAGGAAGTGGAATAGCCAATCAAGTGATGTAGTGGAGGCAGGAACCATACATAGCTTTAAGACGAAGTATGACAAAGCTCAGGAAGCACACACACAAAGAGAGAGATAGATAGATATTGCTAAATGGGAGGTGGACACAAAAAGAAAGCTAGCATCAGGTAGGGTAGGCTCCAAAACCTGGTGGTCCCTGGTCAAGGACAGACAAGGTTATCTGCCTGATGAACTCATTCCACCTCTAAATCGACAGGATGGGACCACCTCTACTAGTAGTCAAGAGAAGGCGGACCTCTTTGCTGAACACTTTGCTACCAAAATGCAAGTTCCTGATCCAGCAAGGGACCCACCTTGGCTAACTGCAAGAACTGTGTCAAAACTGTCAGTGGTGACAATAAGGCAGGTGGAGGTGCAGTTCCTTCTTAAATCGCTTGACCAAGAAAAGGCTGTGGGCCCAGACAAGTTGAGCCCAAGATTGCTGAGAAGATGTGCAGACCAGCTAGCAGCACCTCTAACTCGCATCTTTCAGCACTGCCTAGTACAGTGTAAATGGCCCTCTCTGTGGAAAGAGGCAAATGTAGTCCCTGTTCACAAGAAGAAGAGCAGAGCAGAAATCAGCAACTACAGACCAGTGTCACTCCTGTCAATCACTGGTAAGATCCTTGAGACAATAATCTCAAGACAAATGACAGTTTTTTGACTACCACTCACTACTTTGTGATTGTCAATATGGCTTCAGGAAAGGTTACTCTGCTGCTGATCTGTTGTTAAACCTCTCCACTAAGTGGCACCAGTCACTGGATGAATCCAAAGTCAGCTGTGTGGTTGCACTGGACATTGCTCGTGCTTTCAACCGGGTGTGGCACCAGGGCCTCTTAGCAAAACTTCAAGCACTGGGAATTGCAGGCTCTACGCCATGTCTCCTCAGTGATTACCTTCATGGTAGATCTCTAAGTGTAGTTCTGAATGGAACGGAATCAGCAGGACATCCTATTGGGGCAAGTGTTCCACAAGGAAGCGTGCTGGGACCATTGTTATGGAATATCTACTTCAACGACCTTCTTCATCTCATCCCAGAATCACATGCATATGCAGACGACTGTACACTGACATTCACTTATCCAAGAGAAGAAATGCCAGCTGCTCTAAGCTACATCAATCACCAGCTAAGAGCTATATCAGCTTGGGGAAACAGATGGCAAGTAACATTTGCACCTGAGAAAATGCAAATGATGATCGTCTCTAGGCACCATGATGGTAATGCTGGTGCAGTAGTAAGGATGAATGGGAGGGTGTTGGCACCTGGAGAAGAAGTTGATATCCTTGGGGTGAAATTTGACTCCAAACTAACCATGAAGAACCATGTTGTAAATCTTGCAAACAAGGCAGCCAGGAAGCTTACAGCACTTCGCCGTATCTTGCATCTGCTTGACGGTAGGGGTTGCAAGATTCTGTACATGGCACAAGTACGCTCACACTTTGAGTATGCTCCACTTTCTTGGTTTGCCTGCCCCCCCCCCCCCTCTCATCTGCGACTGCTTGACAGAGTAGAGAACAGAGCAAAATGTCTCATCTCTCGCCTGGACCCATCCTGGATAGATCTGTCATTTCAGCAGAGCCTTCAACACAGGAGGGATGTGGGTGGCCTTACTGTTATGTACAAGGCCAATATTGTCAAAGTACCACACTTGGATCCACTTCCAGGACAGCGTGAAACAAGCTTTTATGCCACAATACGGGCAGAAAGCAGCAACTTCACTCTGGCTGTACCCTTCTCCAGAACATCACTACATCTGAGATCATATATACCCAGGATGACTCGAGTATGGAACACATTCGTACAGCATAATCATGTCAACGAGATAAAGTCAGTTGATCAAATGAAAATGCTGGCCCACAGATGGTTCCAACTTCATCCTGTTCCCTACTTGTATGTCTCATAACAATAAAAATGCTTTCAAATGAGCTGATGTAGGTAAAAGCTCTTAGCTTGCCAATAAAGTTAGGAATCCTTACCCTGTAAATAGCTTGTCAATAAAACTACGGATCCTTAACCTTGTCAAACCCTGTGTAAAAAAAAAAAAAAAAGAGAGAGAGAGGACCTAGTAGCGATCAGTGAAGAGGCGGGGCCAGGAGCTGAGTCTTGACCCCTGCAACCACAATTATTGCCAAGAGACTGAATCATCCAAGTTGAGTTTTTTTTTTTTTTTTTGACCAGGTAGGTACACCATCTTTTAGGAGTGAAGAAGAGCAGGATTTGAGTGTGGGGAAGGTGTGTGAGGCATTACGTAGAATGCAAGGGGGTAAAGCAGCTGGAACTGACGGGATCATGACAGAAATGTTAAAAGCAGAGGGGGATATAGTGTTAGAGTGGTTGGTATTTTTGTTTAATAAATGTATGAAAGAGGGGAAGGTACCTAGGGATTGGCAGAGAGCATGTATAGTTCCTTTATATAAAGGGAAGGGGGACAAAAGAGATTGTAAAAATTATAAAGGAATTAGTTTACTGAGTATACCAGGAAAAGTGTACGGTGACATTAAAATAATATCAAATATATTTGACACAAACCCACTACCATTACAGTGTGCTCCTCACTTAGCGACAAATTCGTTTACCAATGTGGTCTTAGGAACGGAACTCCGTCGTTAAGTGAGGAGAGGCTATATAAAGGTTTTGTGGGCGAGGGGCTTGGACTTCCAGCAAGTGTGCACGAGTGTGTTAGATAGGAGTGAATGGAGATGAATGTTTTTTGGGACCTGATGAGCTGTTGGAGTGTGAGCAGGGTAATATGTTGTGAAGAGAGTCAGGGAAACCGGTTAGCTAGGCTCGAGTCCTGGAAATGTAAAGCACAATGCCTGCACTTTAAAGGAGGGTTTTTTAGATATCAGCACCTCTGCAAAGACAGTGATTATGCATGAGTGATGGTGAAAGTGTTGAATGATGAAATCTTTTCCTTTCTTTTTGGGTTTTTCTTTCTTTTAGGGTCACCCTGCCTTGGTGGGAAATATTATTAGTATTATTATAATCAAAAAGAACCGCTAAGCCACAAGGGCTATACAGCGCTGCAGGGTAGGGAAGGAAGCGAGGGTATTGGGTGGCAGAAGGGAGGAGGGATGATCAGTAGGTTACAGAAAACAGCGGGGCAGGGGATAGTACGGGGGTAGAGGGTAGCAAGAGATTGAAGTAGAAAGGGCTGAAGGTATCAGAATTTGTGAAGTCAGTTGTTGTCAAAAAGTCAATGAGACAGTCGGGATGAAAGGTGGGTCCATCAGCGAGAAGGGAAGGTAAAGAGAGAGCAGCCAAGCGAAGACGACGACGGAGGTAAATTCTGCGTATGACACCATGTTTCAAAGAGTTCCACAAGCTGCAGAACTTCTAGGAATATGTTCAGTGACTGTATATTGGTATATATATTATAGAACAATAGTAATAAACAATTTTTTGTATTGTTTGTTTTTGTAAACAAGTTTTGTAAACAATATATTGATAATTATGTTTGTGTGCTTATTGTGTTGTATACAACGAGTGTATATATGTACATTGCACCTTACTTTGGTCTCACAGGCCACATAAGTTATGTGAAAAAATAAAATAGTGAAAAAAACAACAAACCTTCAAATACAAGTAAACTAAAGTTTACCGGTGAGCGGCAGTCGCCGCTGTTGGCGGCTCATTTTCTGCAAACTTCATGCCTCTATATCTCGGTAAGTACTGATGGGAAAATTATTTTGGGGGGACTAAAACAATCAGAAAAATAATCTTAACATTTTCATAAGAAAAAATAATTTTTTTTTTTTTCGAATATTTTGCGACACCAGGAGACACTTCAGGATTGGGCCCTTCGACAGTCAAAGGGTTAATCAGACACCCCATAAACATATATATAGAGCCTCTGTCTGGGCAGATTTTTTTACCCTTTTAACTGACATTCACTTTATGGGGGTCTGTTTTATTGGATGGTTATTTTACAGTACAATACTATAAGTGAAAAAACTGTAAAAAACTTACTTCCAGCAAAATATGTGCTGAAAATAAAGCTGCTGTGACATCTCTTCGTGTTAAAATCTTTGCCTGGCCCAATAGATGAATCAGAAATGTTATCACAGGAGTCATAACTGGATGAACAAAATCTGAAGATGGGAAAAGAATTCCAGCAATTTTCAGGAACACAAACTGAAAGAAAAATAAGTTTTAATATATTGTGGGTACCAGCCATTTAATTAATAGTTAAAAATATTATACATAGTTAATAAGATATTTTGTTTTCATATAGTGGCTACAAGTCATGACATTTATGCCATATTTCCTTGATATAATAACAGATCCTGAGGATTAGGAAGAAACATGCAAATATAATAGCCATGGCCCCAGATTCTTCAACTTGGTACCAGCGGTTACAGAAAAACTGCTAGTACAAACGAAGAAATTTTCAACGTGAAACTAATGCTACCTCCACCAGATGCCAAATCACCCAGGCTGTGATGGCTATGCAGACCAGAAAGCCAATAATAATAATAGCCTGCTTAAGTAATCAACAAGGAAGCCTGATATCTAGTTGGACAAGTAGTACAATGTCTGCGCTTTTGAAGGATGGGTGATGTTGAGGTTCTGTGGATCACTGGAATTGTAATATCCGTGCACTATTAGACAAAGAACTTTGTCCATGGAAGCAAAGAGGGAAATGTATGAGAGTACAGTTATACCAATGCTCTTATATAGGTGTGAAACATGGGTGGTGAATGTTGCAACAAGGAGAAGGATGGAGGCAGTGGAGATATGTCCGAGGACAATGTGTGGTGTGAATATACATAATGCAGAGAATTCATAGTTTGGAAATTAGGAAAAAGTGTGGGGTTACCAAAACTATCATCCAGAGGGCTGAGGAGGGGTTGTTGAGGTAGTTCAGACATGTAGAGAGGACGGAACGAAATAGAATGGCTTCAAGAGTACATAAATCTGTAGTAGGTGTCGGCCTAGGAAATGTTGGAGGGAGGGGGTAAAGGAGGTTTTGTGTGCAAGAGGCTTGGACTTCCAGCAAGCATGCATGAGTGTGTTAGATAGGAGCGAATGGAGACAAATGGTTTTTAGGACTCAACGTGCTGTTGCAGTGTGAGCAAGGTAACATTTACAGAGGGATTCAGAGAAACCGGCAGGCCAGACTCGAGTCTTGGAGATGGGAAATACAGTGCCTGCACTCTGAAGGAGGGGTGTTAATGTTGCAGTTTTATAATTGTTGTGTGAGTGTGCATCTGGCAAGACAGTAATGAAGTGAATGATGAAAGTTTTTCTTTTTCAGGCCACCCTGCCTTGGTGGAAGACAGCCAATGTGTTAATAAAAAAAAATAATAATGTGCCTATGGAAAATAAGGGCTCAACTTATGATGGCTCTCCAGGAACAACAAAGTTGTCAGTGCAGGAATCACCTGCATTAAGACAAAATTTAGTGGTACTGTATTCATTAGTTCTAAATTTGCAGAGGCTTCTAAAAACAACCCCTATGGATATATGTGCCATGAAGGGTAAAAAGAATGTATAGACATGGAGAAACATTGTTGTAGCTAACTTGTGTATAGTAGTACTATATCTTTAGATAAAATACAGCTATTTTATTTTGAGGTTAAGCAGCAATTACAGAGAGGAAGTGTACTCACTGTGTTTGCCATGGGATATCTTTTAAACTTGGACTTCGCACATTCCTCATACTTCTCTTCTAGTACCTAAAATAAAAAAAAAAATTATTCACATACAAAGTATAGAAAACTTTGAGAGCTCCATACATGTTTATATTAACCCTTTGACTGTTTCAGGCCCCTCTCTGAAACTGTCATTCTATGTCGCTCAATTTTTGAAAAAAAAAAAAATTATTTTTTCTTATGAAATGATAGAGAATCTTTTCCCGATGGTAATGACACCAAAAGTTCGAAATTTGGTCGAAAACTCGTGGAATTATGGTCCCGCGAAGTTAGCGGTCTCGGCGACATATGCGTATCGGCGATTTCGCCGACTTTGAGCCCAATTTTCAGGCAATTCCATTGTTCCAGTTGACCAAACTCATAGCTATTTCTTTAGAACTCCATTTTATCTATCAGCTGAGTACAAGAAACCTCCCATTTACTAATTTGGACTACCCAATATGGTGGTCAGAAATTGGCAATTTGGCCAATTTCACGCAAAATAAAAAAGATGCCAATTTCAAAATAGGGTCCAGAATAAACAAGGTAGACATTCGTGGCACTAAAATAACATATGCTCTGTTCATTAGTCACATCTCTAGGCCCCTCTTATATTATTATTGTTTTCTATTTTGATTTTTTATTCATTCAAAAAAATACAAAATTTACTGTTATGCAGACGACTGCATTATTGTAAAAATGGTATAAATAATATCAGTGCACTAGTGAAAGAATATTAGACTCCCTAGTTGACGTGTATTGGACGTATGGTGTGATTTATTTACTCTTCAACATTGGTAAAAATCGAACATTTTCGCTACTTTGAGCTTAGTTTCAAGGTCGTTTTCATCGTAAAAGTAATGAAAATCATCTCTATTTCTGTAATATGTTTTCCATTTTATCACCTAAGACCATGAAAACGCGAATACAATGATAAATACTATACGAAAATACACCTCAAAGTCGGCGTTTTATTCCAAAAAAACGATCAGTTTTTTTTTTCTCATTACGCAATGTGTGCTGCAGGATTTTTTTTATGTGGTGCACACTGACCACACAGACCCATTCTCTCACATGTGGGCCTACCAGCTTTCTCCCACTTGATTTGAAGCCGCTAGAATTATTGAGTATATATACGTCAGAAACATTGGCTCGTAAGACGTATTTATACGTCGAAAACAGTCAAAGGGTTAACATTACTAAATCACTCAAAATATTTCCCATCTGCTTTCTTAATGTACTGTACTAGAGTATTACTATATTCATGAGAAAGCACTAAACCCAAGGGGTCATACAGCACCTGGGGATTTGGGATTGGGAAGAAGGGAGGATAGCTCTAATTCCTTGGATCAAGGGCAGTTCCCTATCATTAAGACACCCCCCCCCCCAACCCTATAACAACACCCAAGTGTTGCACATGTCTCTTGTTCTTCTACTTGTCAGTTTTCTGAACCATTAATATAATAATAGCATGTGTTAGTAGGGTTACTTGAAGAATAGATTGGACAGATATTGGAGTGAGAAGGATTGAATTTGAAAGGTTCCGCCAAGTATGGACCAGCAGGCCTCCTACAATCCTTGCAGCTATAACCTTATGGTAGGCAGCTTTGAAAATAGGTAGGACAAATATCTGAGTAAAAATGGTTGGAGTTGAGAAGGACCTGACAAGCATGGTCTAGCAGGCCTGCTGCAATACTCCTCCATGTTTATGTTAATCTACTAACAGCTGGGGTTGTTTAAACAATATGTTGGACAGATATACGAGTGAAAAGAGCTGGGTTTGAAAAGGACTTGCCAAGCATGGGCCAGTAGAGCTGCTGCAGCTCTCCTCTATTCTTATGGTCTTATGGATGGAACAATCTGCCAGTTAGGGTTACTGAGTCTTAAATTAGATAGCTTTAGAAATAAGTTAAAATAAATGAGTTAACTTATCAGTGCTATTCAGAAGCTTAAACATTGGGTAGCTTTAAGAAAAGATTGAATAAACATTTGAATGATGGGTTGGATTTGAGAGAGACCTGTGATGTATGAGCTGATTGACCTCCTGTAGTGTTCCACCATTCTTTTCATCACTTTGATAATTTTCCATACTTTTTGTTTTGGGTAGCCTGCACTCGTAAGATGAGAGGGGTATTATTTATTCAGTAAAAAAATCATGACTTACAACCAGTAATATAGAGTAGATATGATAAAGGCTACTGTACATTAACTCTTCTCAATTCCTGTGGAAAAGGAATTATAACTTATTATATTAAAGATTAATTTATTTTACATGGGCTATAGGAAAAACTATACAGATCAACTGTTAGGAATTAAATGTTCTAGCAATAAAGCAGCTGGGACTTGCAAATAGACATAAAATAGGTCACACAGTTACTTACACTGTGGTGTGAAATTCTCACAGCATCACCTGCACTTCAATAAGAATAGTTTGCTTTAAAAACATGACTAAATTGTATGATTAATCTAGCTGTCTGCTATAATAAGTTTACTGTCAAATACTGGAGCTGGTTGTAGTGCAAGTTACTGTTATTTGTCAGATACAACAGCTGGCTCCTGAGTTCTATATTCTGTCACATATTGCAGCTGTATAAGTTGTTATATATTTACTGGAACTATAGCAGTCAGCTACAACATAAAACACAGCTTGTCAAAGAACTACCATTCTCAAAATACAGTAACATTTTCATTTATTTACAAGCAAATCCAGCTGCGAAATAGCCTAAGATTTTTTATAATAATAATATTTAGCTTAATTTTTCCCATAACATGCAATTGTAGCAGCAATTTTAATTAAAAGTGTGATAATTTACATTTTTTAACTAAAAACTGAATTATGTCAAAAAATTCCTGAAACTGCTGTGCAACATCTAAAGTATAATCTAAGCAAAATTAACTATGCATTCCTCCTAACCTGTAAAAGAGCCTTTGCAGAGTTTACTGGGGACAGTTGAGTGATTGTGAAGAGGTACTGAATAAGTGTATCTACATAGATCATTGGTGAAACCTTGGGGACTGGACTCTCTCCTTCTGGATCCGTTAATACATGCAGAGTCTGTGTAAATATAAAAAGGGTTAAAAGGAATACATCTATTTTAAAACATTCAAGTTTTAGGCCTCATATATCCCTAAAGAGTAAAGTATTTAATAATGTACAGTTGTTCCTACAAATCTGCAGGGAGTTACATTCCTAGAAGTCTTGTGAAACTAGAAAATTAAATTAACACATTTTATTCAAGTTTATGTACAGTTTGTGTTTTAGAAACCAGAAGTCTATAACATCCTAGGAAGTAGGTTGGTAGACAGAACCCGCCCAGGGAGGTACTAAAGTCCTGCCGAGTAAAACAATAGCCTGTAATTGTTTTACATGATGGTAGGATTGTTGGTGTCTTTTGTCTGTCTCATAAACACGCAAGATTTCAGGTACGTCTTGCTGCTTCTACTTACATTTAGGTCACACTACACATACATGTACAAGCATATATATACACACACCCCTCTGGGTTTTCTTCTATTTTCTTTCTAGCTCTTGTCTTGTTTATTTCCTCTTATCTCCATGGGAAAGTGGAACAGAATTCTTCCTCCATAAGCCATGCGTGTTGTAAGAGGCGATTAAAATGCCGGGAGCAAGGGGCTAGTAACCCCTTCTTCTGTATAAATTACTAAATTTAAAAAGAAAAACTTTCGTTTTTCTTTTTGGGCCACCCTGCCTTGGTGGGATACGGCCAGTTTGTTGAAAGAAAAAAAAATAATAAATAATAATAATAATAATAATAATCCATGTGTGTCATAAGAGGCGACATATAGGTCACCATGCCTCAGTGGGATACAACCAGTTCATTGAAAAAATAATAATAATAGTACCTAGGAAAGGATGGAGGGAGGGGATAAAAAGGTTTTGTGTGCAAGGGTCCTGGACGTGCAGCAAGCATGTGTGAGCGTGTTAAATAGGGGTGAATGGTGACGAATGGTTTTTGGGACCTGACGAGCTGTTGGAGTGCAAGCAGGGTAATATTTTGAGAAGGGATTCAGGGAAACCAGTTAGCTGGACTCGAGTCCTGGAGGTGGGAAGTACAATGCCTGCACTTTCAAGAAGGGGTTTGGGATACTGGCTGTTTGGAGTGGCATCTAAACTATCATATCTGAGCTCCTCTGCAAAGACAGTGATTATAGGTCACCCTGCCTTGGTGGGAAGACAGCCGACATGTTAAAAAGACTCACGAAACCGTAATGACATTATTGCAAACAAACCATACCACCGGCGGGGATAGAACCCGCGATCAGAGAGTCTCAAAACTCCAAACCGTCACGTTAGCCACTGAACCAGCTAGCCACAATAAGATTCCTCCAACTAGGTATATTTCTACACCATAGGAAGGTTAGCATAGGCACCACTGTGACCACAAATGCAAGTTTTTACAGATGAATCTCCAGCTAGCGTGGCGGTGACGAACTCTAGCTCAAGTCCCCTCAAAGCTGTTAACATGACACGAATCTTATTGTGGCTAGCTGGTCCAGTGGCTAACGTGACGGTCTGGAGTTTTGAGACTCTCTGATTGTGGGTTCTATCCCCGCCCGTGGCATGACATGTTAAAAAAAATAGTATTAATATTAATAATAAATACAATAATAATCTAAGTGTGTTGTAAGAGGTGACTAAAATGCTGGGAGCAAGGGGGCTAGTAACCCCTTCTCCTGTATAAATTACTATTTAAAAAGAAAAAATTTCATTTTTCTTCTCAGGCTACCCTACCTCAGTGGGATACAGCAGGTTTGTCGAAAAAAAAAAAATAAATTTCTACAAGTACGCCTACCATGCTTGACATACGACCACTAGTACTTATAACTGTACTGTTTACAGTTTAGCTCAAGTTATTTTGTATTTTTCTGTTCATGCATATAAATGTTTTCGTATGTTTTCGTGTATACAAATGTTTTGTATGCATGAAAACTGTGTTGTACACAGTGTTTCTCCTAAACCTTACAGTACAAGATACAGTACTAAAAGCATAAGGTTCGACTTGCATCCATTTTGACTTACGACAGGTTGGTCGGAACCAAGCTCGGTCGTAAGTCGGATGGTACTTGTACATAATACGACTATTACTGACCTAGCTGACATCACTGGCATACTAGTGTACACAGAAAGCTCTTGGTTACGAAGAGCATTTTGGGCAACTTAGGTTAATCTTGTTCCTCTGGAAGTGAACCACAACAGTCTTATCTCAAATTCTTCACTGAAACTCAAAACTAAATTCCTCTGCAAGGGCAAATTGTAACTCAAAATTTTCCCAACTCAAGCCCATCATCAGGGGGACCACTGTATATTAAATGGGGTTCATTTCTCTGGGGATGGAGTGGTTGCATTAGCCAATTCGATTGAGAGGGTAATTGATGACTTGTCAAGGAATTTAAACTGATAGATTACAGAAGTATGGGTGTTTGTGGGAAACAATCAGGCTGCAGTATTAGGGTTAAAAACAGCAGTTATTACTGGGATACCTCAGGGATATGTTTAAAAGACAATATTCAAAATAAAGTTTCTTCTTTCTTTCAACACACCGGCCATATCCCACCAAGGCAGGGTGGCCCAAAAAGAAAAACGAAAGTTTCTCTTAAATTTAGTAATTTATACGGGAGAAGGGGTTACTAGCCCCTTGCTCCCGGCATTTTAGTCGCCTCTTACAACACGCATGGCTTACGGAGGAAGAATTCTGTTCCACTTCCCCATGTAGATAAGAGGAAATAAACAAGAACAAGAACTAGAAAGAAAATAGAAGAATACCCAGAGGGGTGTGTATATATATGCTTGTACATGTATGTGTAGTGTGACCTAAGTGCAAGTAGAAGTAGCAAGACATACCTGAAATCTTGCATGTTTATGAGACAAAAGACACCAGCAATCCTACCATCATGTAAAACAATTACAGGTTTTCGTTGTACATTCACTTGGCAGGACGGTAGTACCTCCCTGGGCGGTTGCTGTTTACCAACCTACTACCTAGATAAAGTTTCTAGTAATACCAAATCAATTGATCAACAAACAGAGAGAGATAGCAGAGGGCAATGAGTGACTAGCTCCCTTAAGTTTTACTATACAAATAGTAGGAGTCTAAGAAATAAGGTAGATGAGCTAAGATTACTTGCAAGTGTAGGTAATATAGATATTATTGGTATAACAGAGACCTGGTTCAACCTGAAAGATAGAGAAATGCCTTCTGAATACAACATACAGGGTTATAAACTATTCCACACTGATAGGGTCAACAGGAAGGGTGGTGGAGTGGCAATGTATGTCAGGGAAAATTTAAATTGTCTTAGACATGATATAAGATTAGAAACATCGAACACAGAATCTGTTTGGCTACAGTTTCTTGAGGGTTGTGACAAATTAATTTTGGGTGCGATTTATAGGCCCCCAAACCTTGATAGGGAGTGCAGTAAGCTGTTATGGGACAAAATTCATAAGGCATCTAGATATGAAAATGTTGTGATAATGGATGATTTTAACTTTAGACAAATTGATTGGAACAATATGACAGGAAATCATGAGTAATGACTTTCTTGATATGGTTCAGGATTGTTTTTTAGAACAGGTTGTGACAGAACCAACTAGAGGAAACAATCTGCTTGACTTGGTTCTTGCCAACAAAGATTCACTAATTAATAATCTTGAGGTTAATGATGAGCTACGGGAAAGTGATCTCAAATCACTTAGTTTCAATATATCATGGAATTACCCAGATAACTACAATCAAATCTCTGTCCCAGATTTTCGCTTGGCCGACTTCATGTGACTGAAAAATTACTTGGGTGGGCTAAATTGGGATGTCCTGACTATGGGTCAGGTAGGTGATCTTGGTTGCCAATATGACGTTTTTCAGAGCATAGTTCTAGCTGCCCAGACAACTTTTGTCCTGAGTAGGGAAATTAGATCTAACAAAAATGATCCCAAATGGATGAACAATAGATTAGAACATTTCACTGGTCAATAGAAAGGCATATATAGGTGTATCAAAAGAGGGGATGGGCAGTTAAGAAATCAATATATTCAATGAAAGAGAGAAATAAAGAAAGGAATAAGAAAAGCAAAAAGGGATTATTAGGCTAAGGGCACAAGGGATTCAAAGACTAACCCAAAAGGGTTCTTTCAGGTATACAGAAGTAAGATTAGGAACAAGATTGGCCCATTTAAGAGTAACTCTGGTCAGATCACTGACAGTGATAGGGATACGTGTGAAATTCTCAATACCTACTTCCTCTCAGTTTTCACCCAGGAAAATACTAGCGATATTCCTGAAATAATAGATTATGTAGAACAGGACGATAATAAATTATGCATGATTGCGGCAACTAGTGACATGGTCCTCAGACAAATAGAGAAACTAAAACCTAACAAATCCCCAGGCCCTGATAAACTATTTGCAAGGGTGTTAAAGGAATGTAAAGAGGAATTTAGCATAGCTTTGGCTAATCTTTTTAACATATCACTACAAACTGGCATAGTGCCTGATAAGTGGAAAATGGCAAATGTAATACCTATTTACAAGGCAGGTGACAGGTCCCTGGCTTCGAACTATGGACCAATAACCTTGGCTTCAAACTATGGACCAATAACCTTATCTCCATAGTGGGAAAATTTATGGAATCAATAATTGCTGAAGCAATTCGTAGCCATCTTGACAGGCACAGATTGATTAATGAATCTCAACACAGTTTTACAAAGGGGCGTTCCTGTCTTACGAATTTACTAACATTTTTCACTAAGGTGTTTGAGGAGGTAGATCATGGTAATGAATATGATATTGTGTATATGGACTTCAGTAAGGCTTTCGATAGAGTTCCACACCAGAGGCTATTGAGGAAACTTAAGGCACACAGAATAGGAGGAGAAATTTTTCCTGGGTAGAGGCATGGCTGATAAATAGGCAGCAGAGAGTTTGCGTAAATGGGGAGAAATCAGAATGGGGGCACGTCACAAGTGGTGTTCCTCAGGGGTCAGTGTTGGGCCCGGTGTTGTTCACAATTTACATAAACGACATAGATGAGGGAATAAATAGCAACATAAGCAAATTTGCTGATGACACCAAAATAGGCCATCCAATTCATTCTAATGAGGACACTATAGCACTCCAGGATGATTTGAATAGACTGATGCAATGGTTGGAGAAGTGGCAGATGCAGTTTAATACAGACAAATGCAATGTTCTAAATGTTGGACAGGAAAATAATCATGTGACATAAAATAAATAATGTAGATCTTAATACTACTGATTGCGAAAAGGATTTAGGAGTTCTGGTTAGCAGTAATCTAAAACCAAGACAACAGTGCACTAGTGTTCTCAATAAAGCTAACAATTCTTGGCTTCATATCTCGAGTCCCCTCAGGGAAGGTTCCTTGATGTTGGTGAGGGGCTGTTGATTTAGGGAATTGGATCTGTGCTCCAGTTCCCTGAATTAAGCCTGAATGCCTTCCACATCCCCCCCCCAGGCGCTGTATAATCCTACGGGTTTAGTGCTTCCCCTTTATTATAATAATAATTCATATCTAGAAGTATAAATAACAGAAGTCCTCAGGTTGTTCTTCAACTCTATATATCCTTGGTTAGGCCTCATTTAGACTATGCTGCTCAGTTCTGGTCACCGTATTACAGAATGGATATAAATGCTCTGGAAAACGTACAGAGGAGGATGACAAAGATGATCCCATGTATCAGAAATCTTCCCTGTGAGGATAGACTGAGGGCCCTGAATCTGCACTCTCTCGAAAGGTGTAGAATTAAGGGGGATATGATCGAGGTGTATAAATGGAAAACAGGAATAAACAAAGGTTATTTAAATAGCGTGCTGAAAATTTCCAGCCAAGACGGGACTCGCAGCAATGGTTTCAAGTTGGAAAAATTCAGATTCATGAAGGATATAGGAAAGCACTGGTTTGGTAATAGAGTTGTGGATGAGTGGAACAAACTCCCGAGTACAGTTATTGAGGCTAAAACGTTGTGTAGTTTTAAAAATAGGTTAGATAAATACATGAGCAGGTGTGGGTGGGTGTGAGTTGGATCCGACTAGCTTGTGCTGCTGGGTCTGGTGCCATGCTCCTTCCTTGAATGGAGGTGACCAGACTGGGTGGGTCATTAGGCTAATCCTGGGGGGGGGGGGGGGCATGGACCTGCTCTGCATGGGTCAGTAGGCCTGTTGCAATGTTCCTTCTTTCTTATGTTCTTATAAGAATCTATGTTATACAAAAATTAAGTGCATTCTTAACATTTTACACCATATAAATGAAGACAGAACACATTAAAGATTAGCACTTACCTGTAGGAGATAGGCAAAAATATCATCACATTTCTCCTTATTATTGGTACCTAAACTTGGATGATTACATGTTATCATTCGCTCCAAGATAAGGCCTACTTCTTTTGGAGAATGATCATCAAGCAAAGCCCAAAATGCTTCATAATCCTGGGGTACTGTAAGAGAGGAAAAATTTAAAAAAATTATGAACTAGTTTTTAACCCTTTCACAACTAACTTTTGTTGCTCCCTAATGTACCCTATAAACTTTTTTTTATATAGAAATAGGCTTTTTCCTCATGATCAGCAAGTAGTGTTTTCCACAAGATTCAAGAATAAATATTTCCCATTATTATTATTATGATCAAAAAGAAGCGCTAGGCCACAAGGGCTATACAGCGCTGCAGGGTAGGGAAGGAAGCGAGGGTATTGGGCGGCAGAAACGGGGAGGGATGATCAGTAGGTTACAGAAAACAGCGGGGCAGGGGATAGTGCAGGGGTAGAGGGTAGCAAGAGATTGCGGTAGAAAGGGCTGAAGGTATCAGAATTTGTGAAGTAAGTCAGTTGTTGTCAAAAAGTCAATGAGAGTCCGGATGAAAGGTGGGTCCATCAGCGAGAAGGGAAGGTAAAGAGAGAGAGCAGCGGAGCGAAGATGATGACAGAGGTAAATTCTGTGTGCTTGTTGATAAAGTGAGCAGTCCAACAGAATGTGGCTGACTGATAATGGAGCCTGGCAATTCTCACAGAGAGGAGCAGGGCGCCTCTCCATGAGATATCCATGAGTAAGACGAGTATGGCCAATGCGAAGACGGGAGAGAGTAGTCTCCCAACCTCGACACTGGTGATAAGAAGACGGCCAGTAACCTATACTCGGTTTAATGGATTTAAGTTTGTTACCGAGCATAGTAGACCAACGTTGTTGCCAACGGGTGTGAAGGTGGGAAGATATTGCAGCAAAATAGTCCGTAAATGGAATACCTCTATATGAAACTGGTAGGTCATGTACTGCTGACTGCGCAGCAGTGTCTGCCTGTTCATTGCCCTGTACGTCAACATTACCAGGGACCCAACAAAAAACAATATCTTTATGCTTGGTAAAGATGCGGCGTAGCCAAAGTTGGATACGGAGGACTAAGGGGTGAGGTGTATCTAATTTCTGTATAGCCTGTAAAGCACTAAGGGAGTCTGAGACAACCACAAATGATGACACAGGCATAGATGCAATACGGATAAGTGCTGCAAGGATGGCATACAATTCAGCAGTAAAAATACTAGCCGAAGATAGTAAATGCCCTCATACGACGCTATCTGGAAACACTGCTGCGAATCCTACGCCGTCAGAAGACTTAGAGCCATCTGTGTACACAGCAATGGCATGAGAATGAGAGTGGAAGTGGTCAAGAAAAAGAGAGCGGGAAGCGACCGTAGACAGTTGGGCTTTCGAGCAAGGGAGAGAGAAAGAACAGACTCGAACAGCTGGAACTTCCCAGGGGGGTAGGGAAAAGTGAGATGCTACATGAAGATAGAAAGGTGGTAATTGAAGAGAAGACATGAGCGAATGAAGGCAAAGAGAGAAGGGACGGAGTAAACAGGGGCGGCGAACAAATAAAGAATGTCTACTAATATCAGTGACCATTCTATAAATGGAAGGATTGCTGAGATCATGAGTGTACATAGTAGCGAAGGCAATGGGCATCACGGCGATCGGATAAGGATGGAACGTTCGTTTCTGCATAGAGGCTCTCAACAGGGGAAGAGCGAAAAGCACCGAGGCATAAACGTAATCCTTGGTGATGAATGGGGTTACGGCTAGAGAGAGTAGCAGGAGATGCTGCTGAATAGATCTGGTCACCATAATCAAGTTTCGATAAAATGAGGGTGGAATGTAGGCAAAGGAGGGTTCGACGATCAGCTCCCCATGAAAGATGAGCAAGGGTTTTAAGAAGGTTCAGCCGGCTGTGACAAGTTGCCTTCAGAGAGGTATGTGAGGTTTCCAGGATAAAACCCACGGTCAAAGAGAGGTCCAGAAACTTGACTGTATCACATTCAGGGATACGGGAGCCAAAAGAGGTACAAAGGATGATTGGAGAATGACAGAGCATCTAGTGAAAGTAATTTGGTGGGTTTTAAATGCTGGAAAATTTAAACCCATGTTGTGGTGGCCCAATTGGAAACACGGTCGACCGCAATGCTGGAGAGAAACTGTAATGAGGTGACAATCAGCGCCTGCACAGGCAATAGCGAAGTCATCAACAAGAGTGATGACCAAATATTTGATGGAAGACTAGAGGCCAAACCCTTTAATAGAAAGGGAAAAAAAAGTGCTGTGCTCAAAAACCCCCGGGGGGCCCAACCTTCGGGCCTGGAAAAAAGTCCGGGAGAGCACATTATTAACCCGAACTTTGGAAATGTCTATCATTTTTAAAAAGGGTTCTTAAAGGAAGGATGGAAGTTTGCCTGGGAGGCCTAAGGAGTGGGTTTTGGGCCAAAATATTAAAAACCTCCAATTTGTGTCATATCCCCTTCCCCAAGGTCAAAAAAATAGCAAAAAACTAGGTTATTTGCAAAGGCATTATGAAAAAACGTATCCAAAGCATATTTAAGGGGGCTATGGTAAAAACACCCCCTTACGAAACCCATATTGAAAAGTGGAAAAACTGTTGTGTCTCAAAATACCACACAAAACATCTATTTACCAGCGTTCCATCACTTTGCAAACTGCACGGGTAAGAGCAATGGGACAAGTGGGGGGCTTTCATGCCCCGTAATCCCCTGGTTTGGGGAAAGGGAAACAATGGCAGATTTCCACAGCTGGGGAAAGGGAACTCCTTGTGCCCCCAAAAAAAATTAAAAATGCGTACTGGGACGGGAAAAGGATTTGATTTAGTAAAGTTGTAGCAAACGAATAAAAAATTCCCGTGGGGCCCACTCCGAAAAAGGGCGGGCCGGAGAGTTTTTTCCCTTTCCATTTCTTTAAGTTTTAAAAGGCACTTTATATTTTCCCTTTTTGGGGGAGAGAAGAAAAGCCCAAAGGGGTGCTCCCCTCTCTGGCAAAAACCTTTGGGGGAAAAAAACGGGGGGGCCATAGAGGGAAACCCCTGAAAAAAACGGACCAAAAGTTTGGGCCTTTTTAAATTGGCAACATCTAGGGGGTTTGGGCTATATCAACACCGCAACCCGCAGAACAGGGGGGCCGGTCAGGAGAATTTTTAACCACTCAGTTTTCGTACTTTTCTCCAGACTGCAAATCATAGAGGAACAAGTGATGGTGGAGACAATCTCGCCGCAAGTGCGTTTAGCGTCCCCGGATGACACCGGGGACGATCGCACGCCTTTTGCTTTAAAAAAAAAAAATCTGTCCGTGGTTTTTATTGTACCCGGGAAAAATGCCCCAAGCAGCGCATTTCAAACGTACTTCACGACACAAGCAGGAGCCACCAGCACGCATTTCTGAGAAAGCCTTCCCCCAATTTGGGGGATAAAAAATGAGAAGCTGCGGTTTAAAAAAGGAGGACGAGAAAATTTTTAAAAGCTCCTCAATGGGGGACGAAGAAGGAGGCCTCACTAAAAAAAAGTTTTTTGTAAAAGGGTTTCCCAAATTTTCCTGATCAAATTGGCCCCGCGGGGTTTTTGAAGAGGTGGTGAAAAAAAGGGGAAGTAAAAATGATTTGGGAAAAGAAAATTTCTGTTTATGCAAGTCGGGAGAACAACCAGGTTTAAGTCTAATTTCGGGGGGAGGAAGAGCCCAAATGAGAGATCGATGCAAGAGATTTTAGTTTCCCAGGATCAAAAAAGGGTTGGTACCTTAATTTTAAAAAAAGGGGGTTGGGGGGCAAGAAAAGCCCCTTTAAATGAAGCCACGGGAATACAGAAAACCCCCCCCAGAGGAAATGATGGGCTTTAAAAAAATCCCCAAATTTAAACAAAACGGGGGTGGTAATGACAAAACAAGAAAGGCAATATCCAATGGAATTTGCCCCGAGAAGAGAGAGATATAAAAACAAGCGTATCCACCATCAAGTGGAAAAAGGGCTGTTTGTTAATGTACAAGTACAACAAATAGCTATGGTAGGGAAATATCAGTGGTGAAGAAGGGCACTTTCATTAAAGGTCCCATCGGGAAAAAAGGACGAAAATACAATAAATTAACCCCTGAATAGGAGAGATAACAGCATTGTGTAATTTTGGGTTCCTGTAACAAACACCAAAGGGGAAAACGGGGAAAGTAACATCTAAAACTCACCCCGATTACCCCTGAGGGCCGCGTATATTCCACTGTAAATAGGCCATGTTTGGGCGAGATAAAATATTTTAAATCCGCGGGTAAGGGCCCTGCAGACTAAGGGTTGAAAAGTCCACATGCGGGGGCAACAAAAAATTTTCAAGCAGCAAGGAAATGGTCCTGTGAAGAAAGGATTCCCAAATGGGGGAAAGAGGAGAGAAAAGGAACAGAGGGGGGATCATGCCCCCATTGATGGTTTGTCTCGCAATTATTCAGAGATTGCTTCAAATGTTTCGGAATTCAAGACTCGTAGGGAGAAAATTTTGGGAGGGGGAGGGGGGGGATGATAAAGATTGGAACTGAAGGGACGACCAAGGTAGGGGGGGGGGCAAAAGGTAGAAGGAACTAAGAAAAGCGTGGAAGGGACAAAGGGGCAGAAACCGGGAGGTGCAAAAGGGGAAGAAACTGTTAGGGAACAGGGAGGTAGGTTTGTACGAGGAGGAGGGTGAACCTTGTAACGAGCCAGGGGGGGGAAAAAAACCCGTTTACAGAGACAGGGAAGGTAAAATGGGAGTGGAAAAGGGAAGGAGGATAAAGGACCTTTTTTTGACTTCAAAGATAGGGACGATTAGGTGCCCCGTACGAGGTTCGTCGATACTGAGGCTTGTGGGGAGAACACGAAGAACGAGAACAGACTGAAGCGTTGAAGTAGGGACTTGAGCCGGGACAGCAAAAGAATTAGATACGGATGACTATTGGGAGTAACCACAGAGGGGGTTTTCAGAAGATGGGACCCCAGAAGGGGGGGACGTTTTGAAACACAGGTAGTCTCCCTTGGAGGCGGAGATAGGAACTGCCATGGCATAAGGGAGACCTCGCCTTTTTGGGGGGGAAGGGATTTCCCCCCAAATTTAAGTAATTTGGGAAACGGCGAGAGTACGAAGGTGAGCCTCATGAAAATTTTGGGCAAGAGGGGGCGATTGCAAACGTATTAGAAGGGTCATGGGGCACCACAGACTGGGCATTGGGGCATGGATCTGCAATTTTTCGCGGGATGGCCAAATCCCAGCAATTTCACCGTTGCGGGGTAGGGATCACCTTTCAACTTTTAACCATGTCCTCTACATAAACTGAGGATGGGAGTTCACAGCTGTCAAAAGTTAAACGCCACATTTCTAGGGTATCTTCTCTGCCCGCGGGGCAGGAAGAACATAATGTCTACCTTGAGGTTGGAATCTTTTAGTTCCCGCGTTCAAGAAGTCATGCCACAGTCCGGAAAAATTTTTTTGAACATGGATGGGGGAAAGACGGGTACCACTACAAAATTGAGTGAATGAGTTTTTCAATAGTGACAGAACAGTATCAATATGGGAAGAAGAGAAAGATCATACTTGGGTACTTCTGTACCGGATGGCACGAAATGCTCTTTAAAGCATGAAAAGAAATATCTTAAACCAACTGGTGTAGGGGTGCCCCTTTCCAAAACTGGGTCGGAAAATAGGCGGGAGAGAAGTCGGGCTAAAAATGAAGAATTTTTGTCCATTGTGCAGTCGAAACTGAGCGTGGGGAAAAGGGGGTCAGGACGTGTCATTTTTTTTGAGAAAACGAAGGTGGAAAGTATTATCACAGGTAATTTTCATTGGCTTTAGGCTGGGACCAAATTGGGCCCACGTGGAATTGGGGCCGGGGATTTGAAAATTCCGCACCTAGAGGGAGGGGCCGGGAACAAGTCAAAAGGGGGAAACAGGCAGAAAAACAAAGAATCATCGGACCCAGTACTAAGCGGGTGAGGAAACAGCACCGGGAAGAGGACAGAGCAAAAAGGATTCCAAGAGTGGCCAAAGACGAGGCAGGGTCAGAACGGGGTGTGGTATCAAGAAGGGGCCCTGGGGTACCAGGTTCATGGATTGGGTTCTCAATGGTTAGGTTACTTCTTTCTTTTTGTTTTTAAGAAAAAAAAAGAAAGAAAAGAAAATAAAAATAAAAAAAGAATAAAAAATGGGGGATATAGGTAGTAGGTTGGTAGACAGCAGCCGCCCTGGGAGGTACTACCGTCCTGCCAAGTGAGTGTAAAACGAAAGCCTGTAATTGTTTTACATGATGGTAGGATTGCTGGTGTCCTTTTTTCTGTCTCATGAACATGCAAGATTTCAGGTACATCTTGCTACTTCTACTTACACTTAGGTCACACTACACATACATGTACAAGCACATATATACACACCCCTCTGGGTTTTCTTCTATTTTCTTTCTAGTTCTTATTCTTGTTTATTTCCTCTTATCTCCATGGGGAAGTGGAACAGAATTCTTCCTCCGTAAGCCATGCGTGTTGTAAGAGGCGACTAAAATGCCGGGAGCAAGGGGCTAGTAACCTCTTCTCCTGTACATATTACTAAATGTAAAAGGAGAAACTTTCATTTTTCCTTTTGGGCCACCCCGCCTTGGTGGGATACAGCCGGTGTGTTGAAAGAAAGAAAAAATGGGGGACTGGGGAGGGATAGTTCCCAGGAGGAATGAAAGGGCCAGAAATCTCCCTCTGCGCCCAAGAGGACTTCAGCACCGCAAGTAGCGTAGATGCAGCATGGAACCCGTGCCATACCCTACCCATCATGCCAGTAAACCAGCAATCCGGGATAGCAACCTCACATCTGCCAAGCTACCTCGGTGGACAAAAGAGAGGGCGGCCGGATATCCGCCACAAAGCATACCTCCTTCGCCCACCACCCCCGGAATCCGAAAGGTGGCTTCCAGAGATACACCCGTCGCCCGAAAGACACCCAAAGCCACCCTCCGGGATACCGGAGAGGGATCGGGACATCCCCAGGCGATCCAGATTCCACGGCAAACTACATCACCGCCAAGAACCTCAACGGAATGGGATGGACCCCGGTACCCTTTCCCCTACCTAGGAACTAGCGGGTCTGTGGGAAAAATCCCAAAGGCCAAAAAGAGGAAGGGCAAAAGGGGGGGGGGTGAAGAGGGGGAGGAGGAGAGGGAAAAGGGGAGGATGGGATAGGGAAGGGGGGATTGGGGGGTAATTAGGTTCGGTCTGAGGAAGGAGACCGACAGGTCTAATTCCTCAGACCAAGAGCCTCTTCACCACGCCAAGGAGCCCCCCTTATAGAGGTAAATATTTCCCAGTTACAAAAGATAAAGATATTTAATTCCATTAGAATACATGGAAGTGTGTACTGAATGTAAATAAAAGTTTGTGAGTTTCACTTATCATATTACATGTTCATGAGACACAAAGAGAGATCAGCAATCCTGCGAGAGTGCAAAATGTTCAACAGGCTTTTATTTTACACTCGTATAACAGGATGGTATAACTTCTATGGACAGCCACCAAGGAGCTCCACTACCTAATCACAATAGGAAGTTTAGTGGATGTAATGTATGGTCATAATACTGACAGGTATGGGTATAAAGATGATATGCAGGATAAGTGCTACCCTGAACAAAATGTAGTCACAATAAAACCTTGTTCTGCATGTACAGTAATCTTTACACCTATTAGAAAATTTATGTTCCGAGTATACACTGAGCACTCTATTATACTTTCCGAGTTAATGAGAAGCGACATTCTTTTAACATCCAGAAATGAAGCAACATTTATAAAAAGATGTAGTAGTCACTCTAGATTCACAGGGATGCATTCCTGTAAATCCCAGTTAGTCTAGACACTGCAAATATCTGTCTATAAGACTATATAGTAATACACATACAGATGAGCCTGATTTATGACTGCCCCTTTGCATTTACCTTTTTATTTTTTGGTAAGATAGCTCCTAAAAAACTAGGTAGTAGGTTGATAAACAGCAACCGCCCAGGGAGGTACTACCGTCCTGCCAAGTGAGTGTACAACGAAAGCCTGTAATTGTTTTGCATGATGGTAGGATTGCTGGTGTCTTTTGTCTGTCTCATAAACATGCAAGATTTCAGGTATGTCTTGCTACTTCTACTTGCATTTAGGTCACACTACACATACATGTACAAGCATATATATACACACACACCCCTCTGGGTTTTCTTCTATTTTCTTTCTAGTTCTTGTTCTTGTTTATTTCCTCTTACCTCCATGGGGAAGTGGAACAGAATTCTTCCTCTAAGCCATGCGTGTTGTAAGAGGCGACTAAAATGCCGGGAGCAAGGGGCTAGTAACCCCTTCTCCTGTATATATTACTAAATTTAAAAAAAGAAACTTTAGTTTTTTCTTTTGGGCCACCCCACCTCAGTGGGATACGGCTGGTACGTTGAAAGAAAGCTAAAAAAATTTAGTGTATGCAATTGGAGGGATATGTTGTGTATCTTTATACGTATATGCTTCTAAACTGTTGTATTCTGAGCACCTCTGCAAAAGCAGTGATAATGTGTGAGTGTGGTGAAAGTGTTGAATGATGATGAAAGTATTTTCTTTTTGGGGATTTTCTTTCTTTTTTGGGTCACCCTGCCTCGGTGGGAGACGACCGACTTGTTGGAAAAAAAAAAAAAAAAAATTGGTTACCAGGAAAGGAACCCCCCCCCCCCCCACTATTTCTAATACTGGATGGGAAACCAGAATGACAACTGGAGACAGTGCCTATAGTGCTGTGATGGTGACTAAGGCATGGTCTCCCAACTTGCTGCTCTCTCATCACAGTGAGCATATCTAATAACTCCCTTTTTTATTTACCCCATCAGAGTTTTCTTTCTCTTGTAAGTAGACTCCTCTTTGCTACTTTTGACACACATTATGAGCCATGATGATGCTTGTGCAGTCTACTAACACAACTAATAGCTCACTATAATAATATTCACTTTCATGGGTGTAAGGCAAACTATAGCAGGAAACAAAACACTGCAAGTTCAACAACACAATGAACATTAGATTCAAATGGCAGACTAACAACAGCAGTGAAGAAGACAGACATGTTGCAGTATAAGCTTTTATTGGGACAAGGTTTTACAGCACAGTTTTATCAAGTCACCTTGCATATGACTTGACAAAGGTCTACACAGAGCAAGACACTGTCCCAATAAAAGTTTGCTCTACAATCTGTCTTTGCATCCAAATGGTGAGCACTGCATTTGTCTACACTGTTTATACATGTATTTCATGAAACATTAAGTGAAACACAAATACACAATACTGGGTAAAGTTCTGCACATTGTGAGGAAATATTAAATAAATTTGGTGCTACATCATAAGTCCACCTTTTGCAAGACATGTTAATTTCCCTATATACCAATATATGGGAGATTCCCAAGAAAATCCCAGGATTTTTTTTTTAAGTTCATAAATTTAAATATGTCTAATGGGATACCAGATACATAAATCATAATACACTATCCCTTTAAAAACTAGTTACACGTAACAGCTTTAAAAATTAATATTAATACAATAAATAAACAGAAAATAAGTGAGTGAGTGAGGTGAAAGTGTTGAATGATGATAAAAGTATTTTAATTTTGGGGATTTTCTTTCTTTTTGGGTCACCCTGCCTCGGTGGGAGACGGCCGACTTAAAAAAAAAAAAAAAGTAGAAAATATATAAGCAGAAAATTGCCACCACTTCTTTCACTGTCTCCAGTATATATTCTGTATAATGGATTACAAAGAGTCAGTGGCTGGCTAAACATCTCACCAATAAAGACACCCAGATGTTGAATGTGTCTTTTCAACTGGTCAGCACTGTATATAATTAATGTAGTGGTAAAAGTAGAAAATGTGCTGAACAATATTCCCTATCAATGTCCAAAATGAAGATATCTATACTGTAGCATATTTTTATAACATGCCTGAAAAAACTAATACAGTAGTTCATTGTTACTTAATGCTTTACCTTCAAATGTATAAGGTATTTCTTTTTTAGCTGCTTCCATCATCTCTCTCTTCTGATTGGTAACTTTTTTAACTTCCTTTTCCTTTGGTAGTTCTTCATCCACTTCACTATCACTCTCTTCAAGGATATCTGAATATTTATCACTCTCATTATCTGAACTCTCTTCTTTTTCTTCATCATTTTCACTGTCCTCTTCTCTTTCTTCTTCCTCTCCATCTTCTTCTGAAATAAAACATAAATTAGTCAAATTAGCTCATATTAAATAATATTCATTCTTAAAATAATTTTTGAAGAAACTAGACAAGGTCTGAAAACTGACAGTGGAAAATGTATGTAACAAGGAAGCTAATGACAGTCACAGAAATTATAACAAAAGCTAGAAATTAAACATTAAAATTAACGTGGAAAATTAATATATGAAATGCTCTCAAATAAATTTACTGTTCATGATTTTGTACATTCATATTTATTATATACGTACATAGGGAAGTGCTAAACCCATAACGACCATACAGCCCTTGGGGAATGAGAGGGAAAGGGATAATTAGGTTTGATCTGAGGAAGGAGAGAGCAGCTCCAATCTCCTGGAACAAGAGCTCTTCCCCAGCATTAAAGCATCCTCTTGAAAGGATATTCATCAGAAAAGAAAAATAATGTTTCCATCAACATTGTCATGTCTCTGTGACTGTCACATGAATGATACACAGCACTATAAAGCAGTGTTTTTAAGCCAGTTTGCCAGACAACTCACCAGTCATTCAGGATTTACCATGCTCAAGGCTCCTGTTATAAAGGCACCTATATAGTGTGACGTGCTAATTTTTTTTTAGTCGGTTAGCATGCGTTGCCGTGTATAAACAAAGATTTGTTATACAGAACAACATAAATCATGCACTGATACACAATATAGTGCATATGTAAAGAGAATTTTTTTCCTCAAATGTCATTCTCTTTATCACTTTAAGCACATTAACTTAATATTTTGCACTTTACAAAGATGTAAGAACCAGATGAGGAATAAAACTTTCAATACAACAGAAAATGTACCTTGAACTTAGGAGACTCACATCAATTAAGAGATGAACTTCAACTTATTTCAACTTAGCCTAACCTAAGCTTAATTTACATAATGCTTAGCGTTAGTATTTTTGGGGGGGGGGGGGGGGAGATACGTAATGTCATTTTGCATTTTTGTAAAAATTAAGTATGTAAGAATAAATAAACTTTTTAATTAGTTTGTTTAATTTTACCCGATACACTTAATTGAATTAATGTGAAAAAAAAGGACAAAGAGAACAAACTTTTCATCAAAGAGACTTTAAAAGTCATTACTTCTATGAGGTTAAAACCTTGCTAAACAAATTATTACTGTACCTGCACTATTATTTATTTCATCTTGATTCTTATCTTCCTCATCTTTTTCCTCCTTGTCTTCAGATTCAACTGTTTCTGTTATCATTACACCATCTTTGTAGCTAACATGAAATCTATCATCCTTATTTATAATAAACCTGAAAATAGAGAGGAATGTCAAGAACAAATACTTTTTTATAACATCGGCTGCTTCCCACAAAGGTAAGGTTTAAACACTCTCCATGTCATTCACTTTGATCCATTCTCTCTAAATGACCAAACCACCTCAACAATAATTTATTTCTAAAATTTTGCCAGTATCTTCCTGAGTAAAAACTGAGAGGAAGTAGGTATTGAAAAGTTCACACATTACCTTATCACTGTCAGTGATCTGACCTGATCTTACTTCTGCATATCTGACCCTAATCTTACTTCTGTATACCGGAAAGAACCCTTTTGGGTTAGTCTTCGAATCCCTTGCGACTTTAGCCTCATACTCCCTTTTCGCTTTTCTTATTTCTTTTTTTATTTCTCTCTTTAATTGAATATACTGAATTCTTAACTGCCCTTCCCCTCTTTTGATATGCTTATATATGCCTCTCTAGTGAGCAATGATTTGTTTTAATCTATTGTTTATCCATTTGGGATCATTTTTGTTAGATCTAATTTCCCTACTCAGGACAAAAAGTCATCTGGGCAGCCAGCACTATGTTCTGAAATACATCATATTGGCAACCAACCCAACCTACTTGACACATAGCAAAGTCATCCCAATTTAGCCCACCCAGGTAATTTCTCATACCCATAAAGTCGGCCAAGAGGAAATCTGGGACAGCGACTAATCAGTGACTGGTGGAATGATGAAGTAAAGAGTGTGATAAAAGAGAAAAAGTTAGCTCATGAGAGGTTCTTACAAAGCAGAAATGTTATAAGAAGAGTAGAGTATATGGAGAGTAAAAGAAAGGTAAAGAGAGTGGTGAGAGAGTGCAAAAGGAGAGCAGATAGAGTAGGAGAGGCACTGTCAAGAAATTTTAATGAAAATAAGAAAAAATTTTGGAGCGAGTTAAACAAGCTGAGAAAGCCTAGAGAACGAATGGATTTGTCAGTTAAAAACAGAGTAGGGGAATTAGTAGATGGGGAGTTGGAGGTTTTGGGTAGATGGCGAGAATATTTTAAGGAACTTTTAAATGTCGACAAAGAAAGGGAAGCGGTAATTTCATGCACTGGCCAGAGAGGTATACCATCTTTTAGGAGTGAAGAAGAACAGGATGTGAGTGTACGGGGAGGTGCGCGAGGCATTATGTAGAATGAAAGGGGGTAAAGCAGCTGGAACTGATGGGATCATGACAGAAATGTTAAAAGCAGGGGGTGATATAGTGTTGGAGTTGTTGGTATTTTTGTTTAATAAATATATGAAAGAGGGGAAGGTACCTAGGGATTGGCAGAGAGCATGTATAGTCCTTTCATATAAAGGGAAGGGGGACAAAAGAGATTGTAAAAAATATAGAGGAATAAGTTTACTGAGTATACCAGGAAAAGTGTATGGTAGGGTTATAACTGAAAGAATTAGAGGTAAAACAGAATGTAGGACTGAGGATGAGCAAGGAGGTTTCAGAGTGGGTAGGGGATGTGTAGATCAAGTGTTTACGTTGGAGCATATATGTGAACAGTATTTAGATAAAGGTAGGGAAGTTTTTATTGCATTTATGGATTTAGAAAAGGCATATGACAGAGTGGATAGGGGAGCAATGTGGCAGATGTTGCAAGTATATGGAATAGGTGGTAAGTTACTAAATGCTGTAAAGAGTTTTTATGAGGATAGTGAGGCTCAGGTTAGGGTGTGTAGAAGAGAGGGAGACTACTTCCCGGTAAAAGTAGGTCTTAGACAGGGATGTGTAATGTCACCATGGCTGTTTAATATATTTATAGATGGGGTTGTAAAAGAAGTAAATGCTAGGGTGTTCGGGAGAGGGTCATGATTAAATTATGGGGAATCAAATACAAAATGGGAATTGACACAGTTACGTTTTGCTGATGATACTGTGCTTATGGGAGATTCTAAAGAAAAACTGCAAAGGTTTGTGGATGAGTTTGGGAGTGTGTGTAAATGTAGAAAGTTGAAAGTGAACATAGAAAAGAGTAAGGTGATGAAGGTATCAAATGATTTAGATAAAGAAAAACTGGATATCAAATTGGGGAGAAGGAGTATGGAAGAAGTGAATGTTTTCAGATACTTGGGAGTTGACGTGTCGGCGGATGGATTTATGAAGGATGAGGTTAATCATAGAACTGATGAGGGAAAAAAGGCGAGTGGTGCGTTGAGGCATATGTGGAGTCAAAAAATGTTATCTATGGAGGCAAAGAAGGGAATGTATGAAAGTATAGTAGTACCAACACTCTTATATGGGTGTGAAGCTTGGGTTGTGAATGCAGCAGCGAGGAGGCGGTTGGAGGCAGTGGAGATGTCCTGTCTAAGGGCAATGTGTGGTGTAAATATTATGCAGAAAATTCGGAGTGTGGAAATTAGGAGAAGGTGTGGAGTTAATAAAAGTATTAGTCAGAGGGCTGAAGAGGGGTTGTTGAGGTGGTTTGGTCATTTAGAGAGAATGGATCAAAGTAGAATGACATGGAGAGCATTTAAATCTGTAGGAGAAGGAAGGCGGGGTAGGGGTCGTCCTCGAAAAGGTTGGAAGGAAGGGGTAAGGGAGGTTTTGTGGGCGAGGGGCTTAGACTTCCAGCAGGCATGTATGAGCGTGTTCGATAGGAGTGAATGGAGACGAATGTTATTTGGGACCTGACGATCTGTTGGAGTGTGAGCAGGGTAATATTTAGTGAAGGGATTCAGGGAAACCAGTTATTTTTATATAGCCGGGCTTGAGTCCTGGAAATGGGAAGTACAATGCCTGCACTTTAAAGGAGGGGTTTCGGGATATTAGCAGTTTGGAGGGATATGTTGTGTATCTTTATACGTATATGCTTCTAAACTGTTGTCTACTGAGCACCTCTGCAAAATCAGTGATTATGTGTGAGTGAGAAGAAATTGTTGAATGATGATGAAAGTATTTTCTTTTGGGGGATTTTCTTTCTTTTTGGGTCACCCTGCCTCGGTGGGAGACGGCCAACTTGTTGAAAAAAAAAAATATTGAAACTAAGTAATTTGTGATCACTTTCCCGTAGCTCATCACTTACCTCAAGATTATTAACTAGTGATTCTATGTTGGCAAGCACCAAGTCAAGTAGACTGTTTCCTCTAGTTGGTTCTGTCACAAACTGTTTTGAAAGGCAGTCTTGAACCGTATTAAGAAAGTCACTAGACTCTAGATTTCCTGTAACACTGTTCCAATCAATTTGTATAAAGTTATATATCTCCCATTAACACATTTTCATATCTAGATGCCTTATGAGTTTCGTCCCATAGCAGCCTACCGCAGTCCCTATCAAGGTTTGGGGGGGCCTATAAATCACACCCAAAATAAAATTTTTCATGACCTTCAAGAAACTGTAGCTAAAACAGATTCTGTGTCCAATGTTTCTAATCTTACATCTTGTCTAACACAACAATTTAAATTATCTCTGACATACATTGCCACTCCACCACCCTTCCTGTTGACCCTATGAGTGTGGAATAGTTTATAACTCTGTATGTTGCATTCAGAAGGCATTTCTCTATCATTCAAGCTGAACCAGGTCTCTGTTATAGGAATAATATCTATATTACCTGCACTTGCAAGTAATCTTAGTTCATCTATCTTGTTTCTTAGATTCCTACTATTTGTATAGTAAACCTTAAGGGAGCTAGTCACTCGTTGCCCTCTATTATCTCTTAGTTTGTTGAGCAATTGCTTTGCCTTTACTAGCAATTTTATTTTGAATATTGCCTTTTAAACATATTCCTGGGGTATCCTGGTAATATCTGCTGTTTTCAACCCTAATGATGCAGCCTGATTGTCTTTCACAAACACCCATACCTCTAAAATCTATCAGTTTAAATTCCTAGACAAGTCATCAATGACCCCCTCAATCGAATTGGCTAATGCAACCACTCCAACCCCAGAGACATGAAGCCCATCTCTTGCATACCTATCATGCTTGCCATAGAAATTGCCCAGTTATCAATGAATGGGATTGCAAGTTCCTTGCAGTACCTGTCTAGCCAGCAATTATACCAATTGCCCTAGACATCCATTCATTGCCCACTCCCCTTCTAGGCAAGATGCTACATATGATTGGGATCCCTCCCTTAGACCTAACAACATCTATGGTTGACCTGTACTTATTCAGCAGCTCCTGTCTCCTGCCCTTCCTGATGTCATTTCTATCAGTACTAAGACAGATAATGGGCTTGATCCCATTACCTGACATTATCATCCAACCTGCTGACTATGTCACCAACACTAGCTCCTGGGAAGCACACCACTGTCTGACCTTCCTAGCTCTGTTACAAAAAGCACAGTCCATATATCTTACCCGAGAATCTCCTACAATTAGAATATTCTTACCTTGATTAGCAGGGGAGTCAGTGGTGCCTTTAACCTCACTAACCACTGAAGTACACTCATCTTAGAGAACAGAGAATCTCTTTCCTACCTTCACATCTTCTCTATTAACCTTCCTTATCTTCCTTCTTCCTAAACTCTGAACCACTTACCACTTAAAGCAGCTGCAACTCTTTAGCTCACTGCTGGTATCCTTTTCCTCACCAGCTCCCACCATCTCACACTCACTCCCAAAACCTTCTAGGCAAAGCTTCAGCCTCCTATTTTTCTCCTGAACAAGTAGAACTTCCTTCTTCAACACTTGAACCTGAGATTCCAAAACACTACAGCAGGCCATGGTGCTCAGTTAACACCCCACGCTAATTCCCAGACAGCTTAGGACAGCGACCACACGTGACCTCTGACCGCAGCCTGACACCACCACTCTCCTAAAATTTACTGGGATGTCCCCAACATCTTCCATCAACCTCAGATTTATACACACTCTTGGTCAACCTATTCTGTTCTATCCTTTCTCAACGGCTAATTAATCTCCTCTCTTCCTCCCTCTGACTGAAACGTTTCATACCAAAATGCCATATTCTAATTTTTACACTTTTTATTCTCAGCATAATATTCACACCACAAATTGATCTAAAAAATAAATGCTGTCACCACTATACTCTTGTACATTCCCAGTCTCTATCAATTGTCATTCAAAATTTTAAACCAGTACTTTTTTGCTGATTCGACTTTTGGCATTCTTCTCCATTCTCATCTAACATACTCACATATGCCCACTTGATGTTTTAAGTCCATGCTTATTAATAACTTCTTTAGAATTTTTTTTTAACACATCAGCCATTTCCCATCAAGGCAGGGTGACCCAAGAAGAAACACCCAAAAAGAAAGAAAAATGCTTTCATCATCATTCAGCACTCAAACCATCACTCATACATAATCACTGTCTTTGTAGAGGAGCTCAGATATGACAGTTTAGAAGTCCCTCCAAACTGCCAATATCCCAAACCCCTCCTTCAAAGTGCAGGCAATGTACTTCCCATTTCCAGGACTCAAGTCCAGCTAACTGGTTTCCCTGAGTCCCTTCACAAAATATCACCCTGCTCATACTCCAACAGCTCATCAAGTCCCAAAAACCATTGGTCTCCATTCAGTCCTATCTAACAATCTCACACAAGTTTGCTGAGCATGTTAGATAGGAGTGAATGGAGAAGAATGGTTTTTGGGACCTGACGAGCTGTTGGAGTGTAAGCAGGGTAACATTTTGTGAAGGGAATTTTTAAATGTACAAGTTCATGTTCATCTTTGCAATATTACTGAAAGATTCATTACCTTACCCATCATCAAGGTCATCTGCACTCTTCAATCCAGAATTCTTTTTGGCCTCCTCTCCTTTCATACGCTGTACCCTATCTGCTTCAAGTGCAAGTAGACGCTTTTGCTCTTCTTTGATCAACGCTTCTGGGGTCTTAAGTTTCTCTACGGCCTTAGCTTTACCACTACGGTCAAAGAACAGCTCTTTAACTAAGGTGTCATAATCTCTGAACTCACAAGATTTCTTGGCCTGAAAAATTAGTAAATTATTTAATAAAACTCCAATGTACACTTTACAAGGTTTTTTCAAATAATAAAAATTGTGTAACGTGAAACTGAAAAATGACTACATCAGAACACTACATGAATATTAGGCATAAAAAAGAGCTGCCAATTATAAAAAAAACTGACCAATAAAAAATTGTGACTCCAAAATTCTAAAATGATTACTACCTGAGCCTCTTCAGTTTTAAACTTGACGAGAGAAAAGGAGGAAAAAAAGTCTTGGCCAAAGAGTGAAGTGAAGGAAGGAAATGCCTAGAAGTAACACTAATTGTTTATACTCATAATACCATAGAAAAAATGCTTTCAGTATAGCAAAATCTTTAGAACACATTTTTCATGGACAGCTACTGGTTTGTAAGCAGGCAAGATCCAAACACACCTCAGCAGCTCCAACCATATTAATCACCAGGATAATTCATATTTATGTTGCACTGAACTGATTTTTCAATCCGGTGACATTCTGGCCTACAGCCATCAACATGACCTTTACCTTGATATGAATAAAACTTATACCTACTTCCACCTCTTCTGCTAGGAGTATTTATAAGTATCAAATGTTCTGCATGACTTCAAAAAGTTCTACTTAGAGCAAAGCAATGTCCAAAGAGGCTAGTTCTGCATATCTGCACCTTTGTCCACATGCCAGTCAGTGATATGCCTTTCAAATCCACCCTATCCTACCTAATACTGGCCCATTCTTATTTGTAAACAATCTGTAGTCTTCTCTTGAGCTCACTGCCTGCTTCCTTGTCATTTCCCTTGATTTTCTTAGTTTTTTCCTTAATGACCTTGTCCCACCATGGTGGAGGTTACCCAACAAAAAGGAAAATCATTCATCATCAATCATTCAACTGTTGTCTTGTCAAAAGTGTGCTGACATCACAATTCAGAAGACAGGTGCAGAGCAAGCTTTTGTGATAATACAGGTCCACATTCCTTTATTCAAAATTCTGAAATTTGAAAAGTTCCAAAAACAGAAATTTTTTCATGGAGTGTGAACCGTCGGTCATCTCTACATAACTCCAACGCCGACAGTTGTGTCTCAGCTCTTGCAGTGTTGACACAAGTGTCTGCTGTTCGCTGATTTTTTTTATTATTATTTTTATTTTGTGACTGTTTAATTTCACAGTGAAAATGTCAAAGAGCTGCAGATACCCCTAAGGGTAACAGTAAGAAAAAGAATAGGAAGTATCTGACATTATCAACAACACAGAAAGTAGAGTTACTGCAGAAGCTTGATCGTGGTGTGTCAGTGCAGCATCTTACTGAAGAATATGGTGTTGGAACTACCACTCTATGATTTAAAGAAACAAAGACAAGTTACTGAAGTACAATGGAACCCCGAGTTTCGAACTGCTCTCAACTCTACCAATTATGTAAGTGTATTATTGTAAGTGCTTTTGTAAGTGTATTTTTGGGGGTCTGAAACAGACTAATCTAATTTACATTACAGTGGACCCCCGGATAACGATCAGCTCCCAACTCGACCAATTATGTAAGTTTATTTTTGTAAGTGCTTTTGTAGGTGTATTTTTAGGGGTCTGAAATGGACTAATCTAATTCACAATATTTCTTATGGGAACAAATTCGGTCTATAACGGCACCCAAACAGACTTCTGGATTGAAATAATATCGTTATGCGGGGGTCCACTGTATTCCTTATGGGAAAAAATTAGTTTGGTAACGGCACTTGAACAGCCTTCTGAAACGAAGAAAGTTCGAAACTCGGGGTACCACTGTATTATAGTGACAGTCAATCGTCTTGAAAAGGATGTTCCTGGTCTATAATTATCCCAATTTTTCATTTATCAATATATTACTCTATAAATAAACTGTAGTAGTATTTGTAGTCTCTATTTATCCCGCTCAGTGTGAGTATTCATACAATTTTTGCTGCAGTGTTAATGTTTGATTATGGGGTGCTGCCCTAGACCCCACCTTCATTTTGAAATTCGAAAAATTCTGAAATTTGAAACACTAATGGCCCCAAGGGTTTCGGATAAAAGAATATGGACCTGTATTGCACTTTGTCGAGATCACAATGAAAATAACATAGTTATACACAGAACAAAGTGCTGTCATAATAAAAGCTTGCTCTGTACCAAAGTTTTTTCATTGCTTATTAAAACATCTGTTGTCTTCTTCTACTCCAGGTAAACTGACTGACTGTGTATAACTTTAGTTCTCTTTGCTTTGGATGCTACCTCCATTTCAGTTTTTTGAGGCACAGCATTCACTGTATTTTAACAAAAGATGTGTGGAAAGCACGAACTAATATAGAAGCACTGGAAAAAAGAAACCTTGAAATCAGCATAGTCATAATTCTCAAATTTCAGCCCACAGACACAACCTCTTTACTTAGTGCTGAGAAATATATATATCTTTTTTTTTTTTTTAACCGTGTCAGCCGTTTCCCACCAAGGCAGGGTGACCCAAAAAGAAAGAAAAAACTTTCATCATCATTCAACACTTTCACCATCACTCATACATAATCAGTCTTTGCAGAGGCGCTCAGATATGACAGCTTAGATACCCCTCCAAATTGCCAATATCCCAAACCTCTCCTTTAAAGAGCAGGCACTGTACTGCCCATTTCAAGGACTCAAGTCCAGATAACCGGTTTTCCTAAATTCCTTCACAAAATATTACCTGCTCACACTCCAACAGTTCGTCAGGTCCCAAAAACCATTCATCTCCATTCACTCCTATCTAACATGCTCATGCACAGTTGCTGGAAGTCCAAGCCTCTTGCCCACAAAACCTCCTTTACCCTCCCCCTCCAACCTTTTCGAGGACAACTCCTACCTCAAATTCTGTTCCTTTCAGTAATACTAGTAAGGTATAGTTTACCTCATCTTTATCTTCATCTGTAAGTGTGTGATTTGCCATAATCTTCATAAAAGATTGAAGTTCCGAGTCTAGTTTAGTGACAGCTTCGTACTGCTCCTCTTTCTCTTTCTTGGATTCAGCTTTCTTCTTTTTTGATTCTGCTATAATTTCATCAATCCAATCCTTTCTACTCTTTGGTTTGCCATCTACTTCCTGGTCCTCTCTCTTTGTCAAAAGTCCACCACCACCAAAATGTTTCTCTTTGACAAACTGAGCTATGTAAAAACAAAGAATAAAAGGACATTATCTGAAAAGTTTTGCTAATATAAAATTGCATAATAACCCTAAAATACATTTTCCCATTTTACAGTTTGTGTGTGCATTATAATTAATTACAGTATACAGGTGACCCCTGCTTATACAGAAAACTAGGTTCCGAGCTACAGCTGTAAAGCAAAAATCGCTGTAAAGTGAACCATAGCCTTCTTTCACTTTCACATATTAACCCTTTCAGGGTCAAGACCCCTGATCTCAAACTTGCTCTGAGGATTCAAGAATTTAAAAAAAAATTCTTTTCCGAAGGTAATGACACCAAAAGTACGAAAATTGATGGAAATCTTACAGATTTACACTCTTACAAAGTTAACGGTCTTGGCAATATTTACACGTCGGTAATTTCACCTACTTTGAGCCCTATTTTCAACCAATTCCATTGTTCCAGTTCACCAAACTCAGTTATTTTGCTAGTATTCCTTCTATTCTATCAACTGAGTAAAAGGAACTGCCCATTTACCTATTTCAACAACCCAATAAAGTGATCAGAAATCAGTAATTTGGCCAATTTCACACAATAATTAAGAAATTGCCAATTTAAAAATAGGGTTCAGAATCAACAATGTAGACATTCATGGTACTAGAAAAACATTTCCTCTGTTCATTAGTTATGTCCCCAGGCCATTCTTATATTACACTTGATTCCATTTCGAATTTTTATTTACACACAAAATAAATTTATCGTTATACAGACTATTGCAATATTGTAATAACTGTATATATAATGTCAGAGCATTCCTAAATGTGTATTAAACTGGCCAGTTGGACACGTATGGAATGAGTGATATCGTTTGTGTGTGCTAGAATATCAGCAAAAATCAAACACTTCTGCTACTTTAAGCTCAATTTCAAGCTAATTTCAGTCCCAAAACCAGTTAAAATCATCTCTATTTTTGTAATATATCTTCCATTCTATCAAATGAGACCAAGAAATTGAGAATACAATTATAAAAACCATACAAAAATACACCAAAAAGTCACCGTTTTAAACCAAAAACACGGTTGCAGTTTTTCCCCCCATTATGAACTTTTCCTGCAGGATTTTTTTTTACATGGTGCACACTTCCTGCAAAGATCCATTCTCTCATCTCTAGGCCCAAATTTACTGCTCACAGCTTATCTGAGTGAGCTGAGCTTACGGAGTAGAACTATAGGACCAACCTTGGCTTCAAAGTCGTAGTACAATGGGACCAACCCCCACAAGGTTAAGTAAGCAATATAGCTTGGCCCAAAAAATGCATATACAGTACACACATTACTTACTTTAAAATATTTTCATCCTTAGTTTATAGTGAAAATAGCTTATAGTGAATATATTTATTGTAAGTGGTCTGAGAAAATGAAGAATGGGTATATGCAATTGAAAACCACTGTATTAGTGAAATGCCATAAAGTGAAGAGCTGTAAAGTGGGGCTTGCCAGCACTGTATATGTAAATTACACAACTTACTAAATTTAAATAGAATGTATTATAATTTACACTGTATAACATTGTAAGAAAACCATCAAATTAAAACTTTAAATTAATAAATCTTCAATTAAATTAATTTCTCCATGGGGAAGTGGAACAGAATTCTTCCTCCGTAAGCCATGCGTGTCGTAAGAGGCGACTAAAATGCCAGGAACAAGGGGTTAGTAACCCCTTCTATATATTACTAAATGTAAAGGGAAAAACTTTCATTTTTCCTTTTGGGCCACCCCGCCTCGGTGGGATACGGCCGGTGTGTTGAAAGAAGAAATTAATATTTGGGGAGAATAAATGAGTCATGAAAAAAATTATGCATCATTTATAATTTGAGAAAACTTAATTTAGCAAGTGTATTTTAATTTGGAAATTATAAAATTAAAAGAGTCAGCTTGGCAAAACTCAATTTTTTTTATTCAGGATCTTCAATCCAATTTTTGCCACAGAAATATGCAGTGCTGGCAAATAAATGGGTGTAAGAACCACACTGGAAGAAATAGTATTCTGTTACATGTTTGCATCTGTCTTGTGGTGGAGGGACCAAAGCAAAATTGCCAGTGCCTTATGGTCTAAAATTGCCTTGAAAGTTATGAACTTCTTGAACTTAAGATGCTGGGTCTGGTCTGAGGAGTCTCTGACACACAAACATACAATGATTGGAACCCCCACTGGTGATAAACAAGGCAGTAAACTCCCAATAAACAAAATACAGTAAATGCTTAATTAAACAGAAAAATAGGGAGAGGGGGAAGGGGGGGTGTCTGATTAACTGAAAATTCCATTATAATAAACATTTCAATTAAGTGCATGTAGTCTGCTTAATCAACTGACTGTCAGGCATAGATAAATGCCCAACAAAACATACTTAGTCTGCTGTATTGATGGCCTACAGGACATACTAAGAATAAACTAGAGTACAATACAGTATTACTTGTAAAGGTACCTCAAGTACCTGAAAAGAAAACAGATTAAAAGTACAGCACAGTGCAATACAACAGAGTACAGTGCAGTAAATGAGCTTAAAGATATACAATACAGTACAACATTCCCATGTGGTCTAGTGGTGACACAGAATTCAAATTTTTATTGCTTTGTATAGTTTACAATGTGTGATTTACATATTACAAAGTAAGCCATTAGCATGTCCAAGCATTTCAGGCAGACTACTTCTAATGCTTACACTCTACTTAAAACTATACACAGGTTACAGAGAGGTAAATCTTAATTATTCACTTATTCTGAGTCAGTGGAGCTGCAAGGCTCCAGCAGTAACCTTGCAGATCATGTGGGAGACAGACAGGTAGATGGTGAGGGAGATAGAGATGGCTCAGGCTTACTGGTAGATGGTTTGGGAAATGTAGAACAAGGAACAGGTACCCGCTAAAGTGCTTATGCCAGTTTATCATTTGTAAGTGTTTAGCTGAATCACATCATGAACTCAGGTGACTACCTCAGGTAGACAGTAAATCCTTACCATCAAGCATGTCATCCTCATCATCACTGATACTCAGCTTGTCGTTCAGGTTGGAGTCACTCAGCGAGAAGCCACCATGCGTAAGTTCTTCCTCGTCATTCAAGTTGAATAGTGATTTCTGTGGATTAAATACCGTAAGATTTAGTTACTGTCTATTCTTCAGCAGCTTTGGCTCTTAGCAGCATTATGTTTTTTTATCATTTTAACAAAGGATAATCTTGCCAATACATATTATAAAGAATAACAACACTCCCAATATATGAATAAAATATACACGAATTATGTTGGATTATGTATTGGTAGATAAAAGACTGTTGAGTAGACTTCAGGATGTACATGTTTATAGAGGGGCCACAGATATATCAGATCACTTTCTAGTTGTAGCTACACTGAGAGTAAAAGGTAGATGGGATACAAGGAGAATAGAAGCATCAGGGAAGAGAGAGGTGAAGGTTTATAAACTAAAAGAGGAGGCAGTTAGGGTAAGATATAAACAGCTATTGGAGGATAGATGGGCTAATGAGAGCATAGGCAATGGGGTCGAAGAGGTATGGGGTAGGTTTAAAAATGAAGTGTTAGTGTGTTCAGCAGAAGTTTGTGGTTACAGGAAAGTGGGTGCGGGAGGGAAGAGAAGCGATTGGTGGAATGATGATGTAAAGAGAGTAGTAAGGGAGAAAAAGTTAGCATATGAGAAGTTTTTACAAAGTAGAAGTGATGCAAGGAGGGAAGAGTATATGGAGAAAAAGAGAGAGGTTAAGAGAGTGGTGAAGCAATGTAAAAAGAGAGCAAATGAGAGAGTGGGTGAGATGTTATCAACAAATTTTGTTGAAAATAAGAAAAAGTTTTGGAGTGAGATTAACAAGTTAAGGAAGCCTAGAGAACAAATGGATTTGTCAGTTAAAAATTGGAGAGGAGAGTTATTAAATGGAGAGTTAGGGGTATTGGGAAGATGGAGGGAATATTTTGAGGAATTGTTAAATGTTGATGAAGATAGGGAAGCTGTGATTTCGTGTATAGAGCAAGGAGGAATAACATCTTGTAGGAGTGAGGAAGAGCCAGTTGTGAGTGTGGGGGAAGTTCGTGAGGCAGTAGGTAAAATGAAAGGGGGTAAGACAGCCGGGATTGATGGGATAAAGATAGAAATGTTAAAAGCAGGTGGGAAAATAGTTTTGGAGTGGTTGGTGCAATTATTTAATAAATGTATGGAAGAGGGTAAGGTACCTAGGGATTGGCAGAGAGCATGCATAGTTCCTTTGTATAAAGGCAAAGGGGACAAAAGAGAGTGCAAAAATTATAGGGGGAGAAGTCTGTTGAGCCTAGGTAGTAGGTTGGTAGACAGCAACCGCCCAGGGAGGTACTACCGTCCTGCCAAGTGAGTGTAAAACGAAAGCCTGTAATTGTTTTACATGATGGTAGGATTGCTGGTGTCTTTTGTCTGTCTCATAAATATGCAAGATTACAGGTAAGTCTTGCTACTTCTACTTACACTTAGGTCACACTAAACATACATGTACAAGCATATATATACACACCCCTCTGGGTTTTCTTCTATTTTCTTTCTAATTCTTGTTCTTGTTTATTTCCTCTTATCTCCATGGGGAAGTGGAACAGAATTCTTCCTCTGTAAGCCATGCGTGTTGTAAGAGGCGACTAAAATGCCGGGAGCAAGGGGCTAGTAACCCCTTCTCCTGTATATATTACTAAATTTAAAAGGAGAAACTTCAGTTTTTTCTTTTGGGCCACCCCACCTCAGTGGGATACGGCTGGTACGTTGAAAGAAGAAAGAAGTCTGTTGAGTATACCTGGTAAAGTGTATGGTAGAGTTATTATTGAAAGAATTAAGAGTAAGACGGAGAATAGGATAGCAGATGAACAAGGAGGCTTTAGGAAAGGTAGGGGGTGTGTGGACCAGGTGTTTACAGTGAAACATATAAGTGAACAGTATTTAGATAAGGCTAACGAGGTCTTTGTGGCATTTATGGATTTGGAAAAGGCGTATGACAGGGTGGATAGGGGGGCAATGTGGCAGATGTTGCAGGTGTATGGTGTAGGAGGTAGGTTACTGAAAGCAGTGAAGTTTTTACGAGGATAGTGAGGCTCACGTTAGAGTATGTAGGAAAGAGGGAAATTATTTCCCAGTAAAAGTAGGCCTTAGACAAGGATGTGTGATGTCACCGTGGTTGTTTAATATATTTATAGATGGGGTTGTAAGAGAAGTAAATGCGAGGGTCTAGGCAAGAGGTGTGGAGTTAAAAGATAAAGAATCACACAAAGTGGGAGTTGTCACAGTTGCTCTTTGCTGATGACACTGTGCTCTTGGGAGATTCTGAAGAGAAGTTGCAGAGATTGGTGGATGAATTTGGTAGGGTGTGCAAAAAAAGAAAATTAAAAGTGAATACAGGAAAGAGTAAGGTTATGAGGATAACAAAAAGATTAGGTGATGAAAAGATTGGATATCAGATTGGGGGGAGAGAGTATGGAGGAGGTGAATGTATTCAGATATTTGGGAGTGGAGTGTCAGCAGATGGGTCTATGAAAGATGAGGTGAATCATAGAATTGATGAGGGGAAAAGGGTGAGTGGTGCACTTAGGAGTCTGTGGAGACAAAGAACTTTGTCCTTGGAAGCAAAGAGGGGAATGTATGAGAGTATAGTTTTACCAACGCTCTTATATGGGTGTGAAGCATGGGTGATGAATGTTGCAGCGAGGAGAAGGATGGAGGCAGTGGAGATGTCATGTCTGAGGGCAATGTGTGGTGTGAATATAATGCAGAGAATTCGTAGTTGGAAGTTAGGAGGAGGTGCGGGATTACCAAAACTGTTGTCCAGAGGGCTTAGGAAGGGTTGTTGAGGTGGTTCGGACATGTAGAGAAATGGAGCGAAAACGAGTGACTTCAAGAGTGTATCAGTCTGTAGTGGAAGGAAGGCGGGGTAGGGTCGGCCTAGGAAAGGTTGGAGGGAGGGGTAAAAGGAAGTTTTGTGTGCGAGGGGCTTGGACTTCCAGCAGGCATGCGTGAGCGTGTTTGATAGGAGTGAATGGAGACAAATGGTTTTTAATACTTGACGTGCTGTTGGAGTGTGAGCAAAGTAACATTTATGAAGGGGTTCAGGGAAACCGGCAGGCCAGACTTGAGTCCTGGAGATGGGAAGTACAATGCCTGCACTCTGAAGGAGGGGTGTTAATGTTGCAGTTTAAAAACTGTAGTGTAAAGCACCCTTCTGGCAAGACAGTGATGGAGTGAATGATGGTGAAAGTTTTTCTTTTTCGGGCCACCCTGCCTTGGTGGGAATCGGCCAGTGTGATAATAATAATAAAAAAAAAAAATACACGAATAAGAATTCAATCACATTATATATGTATCAAGATCATCACAACGTTCAACAGCTTTCCAAGATGCAATGGCATAAATGACATATTATACGTGACAGTTATAATGGCAGTATGTCAACTAAAATATGTGATGGGATGAAAACTTTATATTATCCCTATCTAAAATTGTGACCACAACATTTCTAAATACTGCACATTACACAGTTTTAAAAAAATACATGTATATTAATTACCTTCCTAAACTGTCTTTTCTTTTCAGCAGCAAGTCGAAGATCCATTTTCTTCTCAGGATCCATGCGTACATCATTTTCACCAATCCGTCTATCAATAAATACATTACTTTTGTTGCGTATTTTATACTCTTGCAGCAGAGTCTTTTCCCTCTGAAATATAAGATGTATGATCATAATACATTTACTGTTAATTCACATCTCATCATTTTTTCACATTATAAAAAATTATGCTCAATGAATTTGTCCTGGTACAAGGGTAGTGGGAGTACCAAGGGGATCTTTAGCTAGTATAATTTATCAGCTCCCAAATAAAAATAATAATAATGAGAATAATAACATATATTCAGAAGTCTTTTAGCCCCTGTGCCAATCAGATGGCCACCCATAAGTGTATGGAAATCGTGAAGCTGCCACCATACAAGTGAAGATATACAGTAAATTTTTTTAGACGCCAGAAAAACCAAACACAAAGTAGCGAAGGATGTGTTTATTCAGTAAAGTTGCAATTTTATTTATTTCATGGGCGTGAATTAAACCCACAGGGACTATACTGTGGCATCGGGAATGGGTGGCAATTAGATTCAAGCCAAGCTGGAACAATGTTTCACTCTGTGTCGAGCTTTTGTCATTATGTACAGGTGCTCCTCGATTTATGACAATTCGACTTACAATATTTTAATTCTACGATGGTGCAAAAGCAATTACTTTGGAAATGAAACATAAGATAAATGCCCAGCATGAAGACAGCAAGTCCATAATCTGCATTCACTTATTTTTCAATACTGACATTAAGTTATATTAATTATTTGTTTATTTACTTAATCAGTGGTAGTAGTTATTTATTTAGCATATCACTTTTTTTTTTTTTTCAACAAGTCGGCCGTCTCCCACCGAGGCAGGGTGACCCAAAAAAGAAAGAAAATCCCCAAAAAGAAAATACTTTCATCATCATTCAACACTTTCACCACACTCACACATTATCACTGTTTTTGCAGAGGTGCTCAGAATACAACAGTCTAGAAGCATACACATATAAAGATACACAACATATCCCTCCAAACTGCCAATATCCCAAACTCCTCCTTTAAAGTGCAGGCATTGTACTTCCCATTTCCAGGACTCAAGTCCGACTATATGAAAATAACCGGGTTTTCCCCGAATCCCTTCACTAAATATTACCCTGCTCACACTCCAACAGATCGTCAGGTCCCAAGTACCATTCGTCTCCATTCACTCCTATCCAACACGCTCACGCACGCTTGCTGGAAGTCCCAAACCTCGCCCCAAAACTCCTTTACCCCCCCCCTCCAACCCTTTCGAGGACGACCCCCACCCCGCCTTCCTTCCCCTATAGATTTTTATGCTTTCCATGTCATTCTACTTTGATCCATTCTCTCTAAATGACCAAGCCACCTCAACAACCCCTCTTCTGCCCTCGACTATACTTTTATTAACTCCACACCTTCTCCTAATTTCCACACTCCCAATTTTCTGCATAATATTTACAACCACACATTGCCCTTAAACAGGACATCTCCACTGCCTCCAACCCTCCTCGCTGCTGCATTTACCACCCAAGCTTCGCACCCATATAAAAGTGTTGGTACTACTATACTTTCATACATTCCCTTCTTTGCCTCCATAGATAACCTTTTTTGACTCCACATATACCTCAACCACCACTCACCTTTTTTCCCTCGTCAATTCTATGATTAACCTCAGCCTTCCTAAATCCCATCCGCCGACACGTCAACTCCCAAGTATCTAAAACATTCACTTCTTCCATCTCCTCCCCAATTGAATATCCAATTTTTCTTTATCTAAATCATTTGACACCCTCATCACCTTACCTATTTTTCTATGTCAATTTCAGCGACTTTCTACCTTTGACACACATTCCCAAACCATCCACAACCTTTGCATTTTTCTTTAGAATCTCCCATAAGCACAGTATCCATCACAAAAAGTAACTGTGTCATTCCCATTTTGGATTTGATTCCCCAAAGTGTTTTAGTTAATCCCACCCCTCTCCCGTAAACCCTAGCATTTACTTTCCTTTACAACCCCATCTATAAATATATAAAACAACCATGGTGACAATACAACATCCCTGTCAAGACCCTACTTTACCGGGAAATATCCCCCCTCTCTTCTACACAACCCCTTACCTGAGCCTCACTATCCTCATAAAAACTCTTTACAGCATTTAATAACTTACACCTTTCATATCATATTTTTGGTTTAATAAATGTATGCAAAGAGGACTGTGCAAGAGCAGTATAATCCTTTTTATTATAAAAGGGAAGGGGACAAGAGAGATTGTAAAAATTTATAGAAGATAATTTACCGAGATACCATGAAAAGTGTACGGTAGGGTTATTATTGAAAGAATTAAAGGTAAGACAATGTAGGATAGCGGATGAAGGCAAGGAGGTTTAGAATGGAAGGGATGTGTAGATCAAGTGTTTACATTGAAGCATATATGTGAACAGTATTTAGATAAAGGTAGGGAAGTTTTTCCAAGGTAGTAGGTTGGTAGATAGCAACCGCCCAGGGAGGTACTACCGTACCTGCCAAGTGAGAGTAAAACGGAAAACCTGTAATGGTTTTACATGGATGGTAGATAGCTGGTGTCCTTTTTACTGTCTCATAGACATGCAAGATTTCAGGTATGTCTTACTACTTCTTACACTTAGGTCACACTGCACATACATGTACAAGCATATAGTATACGTATTTACACACACCCCTCTGGGTTTTCTTCGATTTTCTTACGAGTTCTTGTTCTTGTTTATTTCCTGGTATTGCTCCACTGAGAAGTGAAGAGAAATCTTCTCCGTAAGCCATGCATGTTGTAAGAGGCGACTAAAATGCCGGGAGCAAGGGCTAGTAACCCCTTCTCCTGTATATATTACTAAATATGAAAGGAGAAACTTTCGTTTTTCCTTTCGGCCCGCCCCACCTGGTGGGATACGCTGATACGTGTAAAAGAAGAAGGAAGTGTTAATTGTAATTTATGGGATTAGAAAAGGAATATGAGAGATGGATAGGAGAGCAATGGGCAGATGATGAAAGTATATGGACTAGTGGTAAGTTTAATAAATGCTGTAAAGAAGTTTTATGAGGATAGTAGGCATCAGGTTTAGGGTGTGTAGAAAGGGGAGCTACCTCCCGTAAAAGTAGGTCCTTAGACCAGGGATGTGTAATGTCACCAATGTTGTTTAATAAATTTATATATGGGGTTGTATAAGAAGTAAATGCTAGGGTGTCGGGAGACAGGTAGGATAAATATGGGGAATCAGAAATACAAAATGGATTGACACAGTTTAACTTTTGCCAGATGATACTGTTTTGCTTATGGGTAGATCTAAAGAGAAACTGCCAAGGTTAGTGGAGCGAGTTTGGGAGTGTGTGTAAAGGAGAAAAGTTGAAAGAAGAACATAGAAAAAGTAAGTGATGAGAGAATCAAATGATTTAGATGAGAAAAATTGGATATCAAATTGGTAAGGAGTTGGAAGAAGTGAATGTTTTCAGATATTTGAGGAAGTTGACATCTTCGGTGGATGGATTTATGAAAAGGAAGAGGTTAAACATAGAAATGATGCAGGGAAAAATGGTGAGTGGAGCGTTCAGTATATAGTTGAGACAAAAAACGTTTATATGGAGGCAAAGAAGGGAATGTATGAAAGTATAGTAGTACCCACTCTCGATATGGGGTGAAAAGCTTGGTTGTAAAATGCTGCAGCAAGAGGCGGTTGGGCAGATGGAGAGGGTCCTGTCTAAGTGCAATGTGTGGTTAAAATTATGCAGAAATCAAAGTGCGGAAATTAGGAGAAGGTGTGAGTTAATAAATGTATTTAAGTCAGAGGGCTGAAGAGGGGTTAGTTGAGTGGTCTGGTCCATTTAGAGGAATGGATCAAAGTAGAATGACATGGAGAGCGTATAAATCTGTAGGGGAAGGAAGGCGGGGTAGGAGTCGTCCTCGAAAAGGTTGGAAGGAAGGGGTAAAGGAGGTTTTGTGGGCAAAAGGCTTGGACTTCCAGCAAGCATGCGTGAGTGTGTTCGATAGGAGTGAATGGAAACGAATGGTTGGAGCATGAGCAGGGTAATATTTAGTGAAGGGATTCAGGGAAGCTGGTTATTTTTACATAGCTGGACTTGAGTCCTGGAAATGGGAAGTACAATGCCTGCACTCTAAAGGAGGGGTTCGGGATATTGGTGGTTTGGAGGGATACATTGTGTATCTTTATACGTATATGCTTCTAAACTGTTGTATTCTGGGTACCTCTGCAAAAACAGTGATTATGTGTGAGTGAGGTGAAAGTGTTGAATGATGATGAAAGTATTTTCTTTTGGGGGATTTTCTTTCTTTTTGGGTCACCCTGCCTCGGTGGGAGACGGCCGACTTGTTAAAAAAAAAAATCATATTTACATTTAATTTACGATATTTTCGACTTGCAATGGGTTTGTCAGAACGTAACCATATCTTAAGTCGAGGAACACCTGTACAGTGGATCCCCGAGTTTCATCGGCATCGAGTTTCGTGAAATCCGACTTTCAGCAAGTTTTTTCGGCAAAATTTAGCCTCGCGGTTCGTGATTGGACTTGTGATTCGGCGACCATCCGGTATCTGTCCGCCTGTCACGACGTACACGAAGCCAGTCTCCCGCACCATTCACACTCAGTGTGCCATTGTTTACCAGCACATGACCATCACCCTGCGGGTTCATACAATACATTTCGTAAAATTCCATTTTTTTTTATTGTAACTGCTAAGTAAGTCACCATGGGCCCAAGGAAAGCTAGTGCAAGCCCTTTGGTAAAGAAAGTGAGGGAGGGAGTGACTTCCAGGACTTTGAACTCTGCTTGGAGAAAATTGTGGCCAGAATGTGTACAAGAGAGGGATTTTGAAGGGTTTGGGGATTACCCTAAGGAGCCTATGCCAGTTGTGGAATCTATTGTGGCATTGGGGATGTCCCTGGGGTTGGAGGTGAGTGGCGAGGATGTGGAAGAGTTGGTGGGGAACCACAGGGAAGAGCTAACCACTGCAGAGCTGCAAGAGCTTCATCTGCAACAGCAAGAGATCACAGCTCAGGATATTGCTGCAGAGGAGGAGGAAGAGAGATAGAGGAAGGTGCCTTCTTCAAAGATTAAGGACATTTGTGCAAAGTGGACTTAAGTGCAAACAT